GAGTTGGCTTCGTTTCTGCTCTACAAGACTGGGATTGGCAGGGTTTGTACACGAGGGAACAATGTGTCCATCTTCGCCGCACTTGAAACAAAACCAAGGCTTGGGTTTTGTTGAGCCATTGGTTTTAGCTTTTTGCTTGCCCTGCCGGCGATCTGCATTAGAATTAGAGGCAGGCATTGTCTTAACCAGCAAGGCAGACATCTGACTTTGCAGTTTTTGCATTTGCTGCTTCAATTCATTTATGGCAGTGGGGTCTGCTTGACCGCATGGGCAGGAGGGTGTTGTGTGGGACTGCAAACTGGCCCGTTGTTTTGAAGAAGTAATATGTTTCTTCATCAAAGAGTCTTTGGCCAGCTGCCTATCCTCTTCAGTTCGAAGCAGGAACAATAGTTCGGAAAAAGCGGGTGGGTTATCCCTCCTTTGTTCCAACTGTAATTTTGTGATGACTGCATTGTCCCAACACCCTCTGCAAAACTGCTTTAATAGATGTTTGTCAGTGTCTCCTGGTAAAATGCCACCTCGCTTTATGACTGTACCTAATGTCAGCTGCAACCTTTGCAGGTAGGAGGACGGCCTCTCTCCATGGTCCTGAAGAGTATTCAGAAATTGCGCAAAAAGCTCGTCTCCATCCTGAACAGTGGCAAAAGCTGAGTCAAGGACTTGGATGAACATGGCAGGCAGCGAATTGGGTCCCAAGCCTTTAACAAGATCTGCAGCGGGAGGGAGCAGACTGTCCAGGATGCGGCGTGTAACATGCAACTGTGACAGGCTGGGATCTGCACGCAAAAGTTCAATGTGGGAACGCCACGAGTCATAATCCGCTTCATTAGCTGGTTTGGGCGTTCTTCCAGAAAATGTACGGAGGCGCAGCGGGGACATGGGTTGAGAGCTAAAGTCATCTTTTCTCATGATGTGCTCCACGACTACTCTCTGTACTTCTGGGGGGTTCAAGTGGTGACCGGAAAGAGAAACCCTCTGCCCTATGTTGAATGAAGGGTTGGGTTGAGGAAAGGTTGCCGACTGGTCAATGGGGGAATGACCTGGCAGCTCAGCGGTGACTGTGGAATGCAATGGTAACTCTGACAGCTCAGGCCCAAGTACTTCCGCTTTAGTGTCCCTTTCTTCCTCTCCGTCATCCTCATCGTCAGTCCCCTCACCTCCGACTTCCTCCAGATGTTCACTTAGCTGGTCCATCACTTCCTTCATGACTTCTTCAAAGGGCTTTCCACTTCGTTGGCCTATGCGTTTGAGTTCATGGAGGTAGTCGATGGAAGGGGTAGCAGGAGGGGCAGGGAGGCTGGTGGAAATACTCCCTGTGACTGTGGCCTGAAATTCCTCCGCAAGTGGCTTAATCCGGCAGATATACTCTGCATTTTTCTCCGATTTATATTTGTATGGCAGCAGTGGCTTTAGTTTGTCTAAAGCCGCTATGTTTCTATATTCAACAATCAGGCTTTTGTAGAAGGAACTATCGGGGTCAGTAACTGTAACCGCCATTTTGACGTCGCCCAAGGTACGTAAAAAATCAACTAACTCGTCATCTGCTTGAGTGTTTGTCACACCTGTCACATAAACACAATGGGTAATATTTACCCGCATTTGTCCAAAAACATCCATATTCCTGGATTTCAGGAAAACAAAAATATTCAAGACTAGTCAAAATTAATGTGACTTGGTGAATATTCACACAGTGTGGCTCCTGGCTAGCTCGCCAAATGTAACGCTAGGCTAGTAGCGGAGTGAACAATTAGGTTGACCAAGAAGTAGATTCGGCCAAGGAGCCAGGGTGTGTGAATGAAACAGACAAAATCAATTGCGCTTTTAGAAAAGTATATATATATATATTGATTGAAGTCACAGATTCTATAAATGTAGGCGAGGTATGCGATAACGATAGTATATTATTTACATGTGTTGCTATAAATAGGGCAGATATAAGGAAATATTTGTAATACAAAAACAAAACACAAAAAACAAAAAGTGTCCTTTGGTAGGTCAGTTCAATTCAGTTATGGTGGGCTCATAACTGTACTTTGAGTTCCTTTTAGAGTCTTTAGAGTTCCTTTTTGGGATTCAGAAAAGTTCAAGTATGCAAGATCCTACCACTCAGGTAGAACAATAGCTCGCCATCAGGAGGTGATTGCAGTTGGTCGAAGAGCCGTTGCAATAAGCCAACGTAAAACAAAAGCCTGACCTGGAAAGGTCAAAACAAACAAAAACACAAAATAAGCATTTGTATAAATAAACTATTCTACTGAAAAGGTACATGATGTACATGTGGAATGTACATAGAAGAGTAAATGTAGATACATATTTCCATATGTAACTGTTCCAAAATAAAAGTACATATTTTACATAAAATATGCTAAAGTTATATTATTTATAACCAAAGTCAAATCATAAATCAACCACTAAATAGCTGATCAATATCATAAAGGTTCTTCGATTCAGGAACCTACATCTCAAAACAAGTGCACTTTAAATCAGTTTGATTCATTAAATACATACTCAAGTAATTCATTAAATACTCTTATATAGATTATTTGAGCAGAGATAAAAAAAATAGTACTCAAATACTCAAGCAGAGTCAGTCAAGTTGCGCAACGATCAAAAATAAACACGTAGCTACGTTAAAAATATCAAATTAACAAAGGATGGAAACCGGTTGCCGCGTTACTACAGTACGGCAAGGTTTCCACACGTAGTCAGAACTAAAAATAGCTCAATCTAAATGCTGGACGCGATGCTTGGTGCGTCGCGGACGCATGTAAAACAGGGACAATAGTGACCGTGTGTAAATGGAGTTTTGAATAGGAGCGGCAGCGAGGTTACCACCAAACAAAACTGAACATTATCATATAACGTAAGATCACTCGCTAAACACAAAAGAGACAACCCGAACTGCTGTAAAGTAACTCACCATTGAAGGTACAGAGTCAGATTCGAAGTGGGATGATGTCAGGCCGAGTAGTTTGTCGGGTTTGTTAGCCCCGCTAACAAACACTGGCTGATACTCTGAAAGTTACGCGATCATGAGCGCTCACAAAGATATGCAGCACATAATACGACCACAACTTGTATATGGACTCACCCTGGATCGGAGATTCAACGTAAAAGATAATATGAGGCAAAATCAGCGCGGTAAAAGGCAATAAACGCCGAGAAGCCAGACGCACGCCACAGGCCACAGTCACAGAGAGCCGTCAAGGAAGGGGCGGGGGGAATGACCTGGTATGACCCCGCAGGTTAGAAGGAAGCAGCGCTGACGCTGTATGCATTTATTGGGCCGCAATATTCATAAAATATTATTAATGTTGGGCAGCCATAATAAATATAAAAATATCATGTTAGGAAATACGGGTTACACATCACACACACTGCTAGACATGAAACTTTACATACGCGCAAACCAACAAGCACGGCTGCAGTAACGGCTGCATCAACACGTCTGTACTGTGTTAGGACAGAATGCAAAGTAAACGTACAAACACAACCCATCAGTCTGATCATTTAGTACTAATCCCGTCCGAATAGGGCTTATGCCAACACTACCTGTGCAGCAGCAATTTCTACCCAATTCCTCTCCTTGTCATTTTGGTGATGATATTCTTTACACGACACGTCATACATACATACAATCACTGTGTTGCCAGAGGTCAACTAGTTGTTCCTCCATCTCTGATGTCCACTGAACTTTCTGGTGCGCCATGCCGCTGACTGTTTCGGGTTTTTTACGGCGTTTCCTCGCCGCCTCGTCTCGTCTTCTGATTGGCTACACGCCGCAGTCATGGCAACGCGCTCGTCTGTACACCACACACAAAGAGAAATCGGGCCAAAACAATCCAACATGTTGGATATCCCCAATATTGAGATCGGAGCAGTCCCGAAGTCCTTCCGAGTGACGAGCGCAGTCTTAACACACCACACACGGCAGGATAATCCATCAGATTTTTTGTTACGATATTCGGAGCGTTCTTACGATTGTCTTAGGGGTAAATCGGATCCAAAATCTGCCTAATTATCCTGCCGTGTGAACCAGGCTTAACTTCTGAATGAATAATTTTTAGCATTATTTTTTGCATGGGGAGAGACACTGACATTATTTTATTCTATGATATACAGTTATTATTGGTAGGTAATCCTTCACTGAGAACATTATAGCAAAGAAAATTCCACTACTCTCTTGTTTATTTTAGTATTTATTATATGATTAAAGAAGGTACCTAAGGAAGTTTCAAAGAGGTTTGCCCCTTTGCAACAAACATGATTGGGCTGAGATTTGTCTCTGTCTTGTGGGTCTTTAAATAATGAAAAACAAAACGGGTGACTTGGACTGGAGTGTAGAGTGTGTGTTATGTAACTGAATGAGATACAGCATACAGGGGCTGGTACAGTATTGAGCTGGGAGGTTTAAACACCGGTATCAGATTGCTGCAAAATAATTTCTTAATGGGACTCAAAATTTACTTTTAGCACTTAAGAAATTAATTGTCGAACATATTGTAATTTTTTGTCATTCACAAGAACTGTTTTAACAATCACTCTAAAGTTGCGTATGAGTTTCACCTCATAAAACCATTGCTCAAACAAATTACTCATTTAGACAAATGGACAAGCAAAATGTTTGTTCTTGGTCACTACATAAGGTGCCCAGAGTCCCAGTCAGTCGATTATCGCATGGAGGAAGAAAATGGTTTACTACCTCTCTTCCTGTTACTGCAGCCAGCTTTATCCACCAGAGTGTGACCTTTTCAACTTTACTTTCAGCTAGCTGCACTACCATAAAAGATAGGCACACTATAAGGCGCACACTACACTACATTAAAAATTTAAAGTTTGAGAGAGCTGTCCACTTTGAAAAGAGCTATTACCTATTTGAAAATGGCAAAGCCCAAGGAAGAGTAAGCTAATTCAGTTTTGAGCTGACTTTCATGTTTGTAAATTAATGTTATTGAACTATATTCTCACATGATCAAGACTCAGCTGATATTTTGTTTCAGAGCCCTTCATGAGGAACGGTCGCCCTCCCACATCCCACAGCATGCACTCCTTCCTGCACCAGTACACGGGCTCCTTCAAAAAACCACCGCTGCGACGACCTCACAGCGTCATCGGAGGAACACTGGGCTCCTTCATGGCCATGCCTCGAAACGGCAGCCGATTAGGTAACACACTACACCTATCCATTTTCCTTTGTTTTCATATACTGTTAGGTTTTGTGCAGAAAGTTTTTTTACTCCCTCCGACATCTCAAATATTGGTTTTACTATATTCCCCAGATAAGGGCAATAAGGCATGCATGTCCAACCTGCTGCACATGTGCAGTACGAGAAATGAGGAAGAAAAGCCGCACATCTGTACTATCAGACCCACCCATCTCTAATTTACTATACAGTAGACTGGTGTTTGAATGCTTAGGAACTATTTGTTGACTACAAAATATTTATTGAATGTTAAAAATGGACATGGCATGCAAAATTATATAGAAATATGTACATTTTATAAAAATGTGAACATTTTGATTTCCTTTTCATACTCCAAGCTTGAAGAAAGCACTATTGGACCAAAAAAAGAAAGGATTTAGGATTGATGGATCTCTTTGATATTGACTTAAAATCAATGGAAATGACTGCAAAACATGCAGTTCTAATCTCTCAGTCTCTCAGTTATAATTTTGAAGAATTTATCATTATCTGCCTCCTTTTAATTATTCTATGGTGTTCATCTTGACAGCTGATTAGTTACACGGTAGAGGAGGGCAATTTATCAATATTTACAATATATTGAGATATTCTTTTTTGCCCCACTGTATATGCATTGCCTTGAGCTGAGATTTATTTTTGAATGAAGAGAAGGCAATATGTACAGTATATTAATTTATTCCACAGTTAAAATGTTTTTTGTTGGAAATAAAAACAAAAGTGACAGAAGCACTTGGTTTCAACTTGAACTGACTCCTCTTTGAGAGTCAAAAAAATGTCTTTGGAAATTTGCAAATTTGTTTTTGCAGTAGTTTTTTTTAATCCTGTAAAAATCTGGAGATATATATTGTATGTCTAGATATAGAAAACTATATAGAGATTTCTATCTTCTATCTTCTATCTCTCTTCTATCACCCAGCCCTATTAAACGACCGTTTTGTGTCCTTTTGTTTCACAAGCATACAGTATCGGTCTGCTTCAAAGTATTTTTTATTATTTTTTGGAAACTATAGGCATGATAACTTAACTACTTTTTGGATAGTCAATATTAAAAAAAAAATCACTGACTGCATCTATAATATGATAAACAAAGGATTTTTCAGACCAAGACATGTCCACTGTAAACAATCATTTTCTGCATTATTAGCAAAATGTTGAGTGACATAATTTGAGTCGTTGTTTGTGACTCACTCCAGTCCAGCACTCATGAAGCAGATGGTATCCGGGAGCACACAGGAAGTGTCTCACTGCCTTGATATTTCCTCACTTCAGCCAAATCCTTGCTTTTCGAACAGGCCTTTCCCCTCATGTGCCAATCCCTGCATCTCAGTGGCATGTGTGAGGGGACGTTGTATGAAGTGGGATGTGATGGGGGGATGAATCATAGTCTCGATGATTCATGATGGAACAATGATGTGTAAATGGTCTGGAAGTCTTAACCTCGAAGTTCAGGAGCACTGGAAATCAATCCGGAAGTCAGTATTCAAGAAAACGCTGCGATATATAGTTTATGAATTGAAAAATATGTATTTTCAATCTTTCGTATGAATTTATTCATTTTGTGAGCAGATTATTTTAAATTATGAGAATACATTTTATTTTTTTTTAGAATAAAACTTTAGTTTTGAGTACCATTTCTATTTTACCATTGATGAGTCTTGCCTCAGGGTGGGTTAGTTTTTCAATTATGATATTCAGACAGTAATTTATTCATCATCAATTGGACTACAATGCTTCTAAGTGATCACGATACCCATAACATTATAATTATTCACAAAGTTCTGCAATTTGAACTGTTTTTATGTTTTTAAAAGTGTATACCTTCATGTTTGAAGCAACTATGGTTAAAGTTCTAACTCTTCATTCTGCACAAGCAGCCAGTACTTCTCCACTTGATGTTTTGGTTATTTAAAGGTTGAAGCCACTGGCACCGTGGCAGCTGCTGATAGGAGGTCTACGTTTCTCAGGCTGTATATTACCACTTGCAATATGTAACATCCTTTGTTTGTGCTCGGGTTCCTGCTGTCTACCATCAACAATAAAACATGTCTTCTGTCTGATTGAAAGACACGATCCCAGACTTTGTCATCTTCTTCAGTAGCCTGGTCTTACCATACCACATTGTACTCAGTAAATGTTGAGAAATAATAAATGACCGCAATGTACGGATGGCTAAGGCCAGGCTATTTATATTGCAGTCCACACATCTATAACTGAAAAATTCAGGCTACGTGAACAGCTCCATTAAATGTAAATCATTTAGGTGATCGGTAATCGGCAAAAGAGAATCTGTTCCAAAAATTCCAAAGAGCTCGGCTTTTGGTTATTAGACAACATCATAGTCAAGCCGACACATTCTCTGACCCTTTGTATGCTCTGAACCCTAATTCTTTCTGTAATCACATTGCTGTGTTATAATCGGTGTCTTAGATGTCAGAAGCAGATAGAAGCTTTGCTGAGGAGCTAAATTTGCAGTCGCTGGTTAAAGTAGGGGCTGCCAACAGACCCTGTCCTAATTAGAATTCCTTGGATCTAAAAACAGGGCACTCAAGTGGGACAGCGCCGATGGAAGTGTGAAGCCTTGTTAACAGCTTCTCAAAATGAGACTGGAAACGGGAACAACAGAATGTCATGTCACATTAAACAAACGATGTTGTGAGAATAAAAAGTATTCCAAAGGGGTAAAAACAACATCTCGTTGTCTTTAAGGTAAAATACACAGTTGTCTTTCTCTTACTATCTTAAGCAATAATTCTTTTATTTAGTTGTTTGGTCGTTTTATATTTTGTTTTTTCAAACAATTGTAACGTTTGTATTGGAAAACATTACATTAAAAAAATCTGATAACAAATACATTTCAGGAGCCGGGCCATGCGTCCTTCTCAGCCAACCACACCTCACCTTGTAGTACACTCACTTCCGTGCGTGTATTACCGTGTACACGCACATAATACATCCATGGCATATATCCATATCAGAAATGAATGCTTTAGAATGTTAAGATCGTTCATCTCTCTCTGTTTTGTTATTATTATGTATTGTTTTTGTGTTATTGATTTATTGCATACCTTCTTGTTTTAAAGATAGTTTACTGAATATTATCCACCAACAGATGTTCTGGCATCTAATTTTCCCTCCACATGAGCAGCGGTGTGTGGTGTGAGATGACAGGGCGTCTCACTCCCTCATTAACTGTTTGTTTGAGGATCTGTGCTCTGAGTTGTAGTTTGGGTTTTACAGCTCAGAATCTGTTCTCAAACCCATTTAATGGCTTTGTGCAGAGGATGGGTCTGGCTCAGGGGTTACCCCAGGTGGGCAGGTTCTTTCAGGGTACATAGGAAATCATTTAAATCATACCTTCATCAATTAGGCTTCTTTTGTTCATTCATCCATTCATTCATTTTCCAGGAGGGGTGACAATGACAGCTGCCACCCAATGCTCATAACACCAGTAACATAATTATTATATGTGTTTTCAGATATAGTGCACGAGAACCTGAAGATGGGCTCCGATGGGGAGAGTGACCAGGCGTCTGGGACGTCTTCAGACGAGGTCCAGTCTCCAACAGGAGTCTGTCTGCGGAGCAGGATTCACCGACGCATCTCCATGGAGGTAACAAACTGTTCACAATCATTATTATGCATTCAATGAGATTTAAGAGACTTTATTAATTTATATATTCTATGTCAATGTCAAAATATATTTATAATTTTTTTATTCTGTAAACAAAAAAACCACACGTTTTTTCTGGTAGCCGCTGTGAGTGGAGATTATATTCTCACATGGCATACCCTCCTTGTATCCTGAATGCCTCTCCCTCATGTTTCAAAGTAAAAAGGGTGAAAAGAGATCTTGCTGCTGTGAAGTGACACTCAATTGTCAAAAACTGCTGTTAACATTGAATTTGTAAAGGTAATTTTTGTTTTGAGTGGCAATGCTTTTACGTTTGTCAGCTTCTGAACATATTCTTTCTAAAGTTTGAATAAGGAACACAACAGCCTCATTTGGCCTGGAAAATGACAGCAAAAAATGCCATTACCAAAACAGTTTACACTCTGATTCTAAAATGTGAATCCCCAAACATTTTCCCAAAGAAGCCAGTCCAGTTTCTCTTTTGGCTTTTTAAAATTTCCAGAGGTGAATCTAAAACAATAGCACAACCTTCATTTTAGGGAGCAACATAGGCTGATCCTCAGTATACCTTTCTAACTTTTCTTTTAACTATGCCTTGAGGATGAGGAGGCTAGGTCAGGCTAATAGTATTGTTTACACCTCATACATTTTATAATTTATAATGGCTACAATGAATGTGTAATATTCATTATTTCAATAGACATGCACACGTTCAGTTCTTGTGGAGGTTAGGCTGGTGGTGCTCTGGTCTTTGAAGCAGGTGATAATGACTCTGGATCTGGAGGAGGTCAAAGTGTGACATCAATTACTGACTTCAAACACTCCAGGCTGTGGTCTGTGTGGGAGCGGTGCTTTCGCAGGTCTCTTCAGGTTATCCACTGAAGTGACATATAGCATGAACAGTGGTCACTTAAGCAGTGTGTGCCTTAGCTTGAGATTGAGATGCAGGATAAAAAAAATCTATTGGTTGATCCAAATGATTTATGATGAGGCAAATGAAAGTGTTCATATTTAGTTCAAGACAGACTATTTATATAGCTCTGAACATAGCACGTTTATTTTTACACTTCTCCTCCTTGTTCTCCCACATCAGCACCATTCCTTTGGCCTCAGCTGATTTCTTATAATAGATCAATCAAAACAATAGCACTGCAAGCTGAGCCAATAATCAACTTCTATATGCCCTCCAACAGACTTATTTGAACCATTTTCTCAGGAATTGCAATTTGGTCTGAAATTAAGTTGATTTAATTGTATGCAGTAGTGTATTTCTTGCTTGTGTACTGACATTTCTGGTAATAAAGGCTCCGTCACAATTTAGCTTGAAGTTCAATCAGTGTTTCTTATTATCTCATCTTATTTAGTTTCCTTGAAGTGTAACATTTGAAATAAGAACCAAAACGCACATCTTGATAAGTGAATAAATCAAAATTATTAAAAAAAACTATACTGTATGGGCAACTAAATATTTTTCCCTATAGAACCTGTTATTTAGCCATTGTGCAGCTGTATATTTTAAACCTGCAGGAGTCTATGGCAGATGTGCCTCTATGGGAGGACTGGAGAAGGTTATTTTAAACAAAGTACATGAGGAGGCGGCCGTCTGCACTGTTCCCTGCAGAAAATAACAGTTATTTAGCAACACAGGCCGCAAGCTGCTCGTCAATGAAGTGTCACTGGAGCGATGCTGGTTTGTTGATGCTTCTCCTAGAAATGTGCTGTTGTTGTTCTTGTTGTATATTGCTTTATAATCCAAATAAGTTTTTGCTATATTTGTCATGATTTTGTATGGTAGTTTTTGTGTTTTTGTCCATCTTGAAAGAACATTCTCAGATATAAATTCCAAACAAATGTGTTCAGACTGTTTATTATATTAAATTAAAATGTAGTTTTTACTTCATATTCAACATATTATCTCTGCATTTGTGGTCTAAAACAAAAGACTGTGGATGTGTACCCTCTGCAATTTATGAAGCCATTTCTCTATTTTGCTGCGAGTTGGTTGAGTCCACTGCGGTGCCTCTGGGTGCAGGTTTAATGAGCCATATCGGTTTCCCCCCTAGAGGCAGAGCTATTGTTCTGGGATAAGGCTAAAAATTATCTGTGGGAGGGATGTGCAGTATACCTCTAGAATCTCCCAAGTTATCACATGCCATGTTCGTTGTAAGATTTGAAGCTACATGATGTGGGCTTTATGACACACCCGTAGTACAGTAATCAATCACCAGCTACGCACACAGCAGATACTAGAGGGTGTGGGTGAAGGTATGCTGGCTCCTTTCTAGGGATTAAAGCTGGGGTACCGAACCTTCCCCCCCATATATTATATAGTTTGTTTGTTTTTTTCCCAACAGAAAGAATCTTGTAAAAGTAAAATGTTGTGAACAAATTAAACCACAGCATTCCCTCTTCACATAATTAGAAAATATGTTTTTATTTGTATTACTATTTGATAATTTTGACCGAAAGTTGGTCCTCTCTTTTTATGTTTTCTGTCAGTGCAGGACAAATACATGGTCCTGCACTGCTTGGCTTCTGAGATCTGATAAGCTTCCAAAACTTGTGACAAATATTCACAACGGCTAAATATGATTTTTTGTTGTTGTGTCTGCAAAATGCCACTCGACCAAAATGCAATGCGCCCACACTTAAAATGATGTTTATATATTTCCATAAATAGTAGCAAATACAAAAATCACCTCACTGACATGTTGTTCTTATTCTATTGTTGCCACTTTCATATTACTAATGTTACTAATATAATGTTATACGATACAGGTCCTCAGTGTTATTGAGTAGCTCTTCTAAATAATTGTTATATATTGCTTGTTCCTTGTATTATGCAGGACCTGAACAAGCGCCTGTCCCTGCCTGCCGACATCCGCATCCCTGATGGGTACTTGGAGAAACTTCAGCTGAGCAGCCCTCCCTTCGACCAGCCGCTGAGCAGACGGTCTCGGAGAGCATCTCTGGTATGTACACCTGTTGCCATGGAAACTGTACTTAGGAGAAGAGTTGAATTTAGTTGAGTCTTGTGCTTTTATGAAGGCTATTCTGCTGTCTTGTTGTAATCCCATAATGTGTTCTAACTATAAAACAAGGTGCAGGTTTTGTAGTGAGGCATGTCGCTAAATTAAACGTGAACTGTGTCATATAGGATTTGTTCCATTAATTAGATTGTTCTTTTTTTAGTCGGAGATTGGGTTTGGAAAGTTGGAGACGTACATAAAGCTTGACAAACTTGGAGAGGTAAACAATTGCGTTGTACATAAATTATATATATTACAGCGTTCTGTTACATTTTTAATAATTAGAAACAACCATGTTCCAGGGTACATATGCAACCGTGTTCAAAGGGCGCAGTAAACTCACAGACAACCTGGTGGCACTTAAGGAGATCCGTCTGGAACATGAAGAAGGAGCCCCGTGCACTGCCATCAGAGAAGGTACTTAGATCTATTATGTACTGTAAGATATATGGTCAAAGAGTTATTTATTAATGTCCAATGTAATCTGTTGTAGTGTCGCTACTGAAGGACTTGAAACACGCCAACATTGTGACGTTACATGACATTGTCCACACAGACAAGAGCCTCACACTGGTTTTTGAATACCTGGTGAGTCTTAATAGAAATCAACAATTGCACAATTGAACTGTATCTCTTTTTCACTTTTAGTTCAGACCTATTTTCCTAAAAGCTTTTTCATTTTCTTTTTGTGTGTTTTTCTGTATTTTTCAGGATAAGGATTTGAAGCAATACATGGATGACTGTGGGAACATAATGAGCATGCACAATGTGAAGGTGAGACTTCTCCTGATGTTCCTCGCTGCATCAGGGCGGCACGGTGGCTGAGTGGATAGCACTCTCGCCTCTCAGCAAGAAGGTCCTGGGTTCAAATCCCGGCCGGACCAGGGCCTTTCTGAGTGGAGTTTACATGTTCTCCCCGTGTCTGCGTAGGTTTCCTCCGGGTACTCCGGTTTCCCCTACTACTAAAAATATGTACAATAGATCTGGCATGCGCCTCCTGTTCGGCGACCCCGCTCCCATCTCTGTGTGGAGTGAGAGGACAAGTGCCCAAAAAAATAACAATTGTAAACCGCTTTGTGACTCTGGTCTGTGAAAGGCGGTATATAAATAAAGATTACTTACTTACTTACTTACATCTGACTCCTGTGGGCCGACATCTGATTTCAGCAATACTTGTTTTTTTTTTGTTTTAGATTTTCTTATTTCAGATTCTGCGGGGTTTGTCTTATTGTCACAAAAGGAAAGTCTTGCACAGAGATTTGAAGCCACAGAACCTGCTAATAAACGATCGAGGGGAGCTGAAACTGGCTGATTTTGGTAAGGAAGAATCATAGTTTTTCTATTTGTGGTCACATTTGTACCTCGAGATCAGAAAATACATGCCTTAATATGGTCGATGCGGCTGTTTGATGTAATGCTTGCTTATTGGTAGGTTTGGCCAGAGCAAAGTCAGTACCAACCAAAACATACTCAAACGAAGTGGTGACTCTGTGGTACCGACCTCCAGATGTTTTACTAGGATCATCGGAATATTCAACACAGATCGATATGTGGTATGTATTTTTTATTATTTCATAAACATTAATATATTTTCTAATGAATAAAGGACACATACATATATTTGAATGTAACTGTTGAAATGGGTTTGTCACATGAGTAGCTGCACTTCACTACTATATATATATATTTTTTTCCTTTGATTACAGGGGTGTTGGGTGTATTTTCTATGAGATGGCTGCAGGTCGGCCGTTGTTTCCTGGGTCCACAGTAGAAGACGAGCTTCACCTCATCTTTAGGTTACTCGGTAAGTATATTTTAATTTATTTTTATGTGGTAATAGAACATATATGTTAATGGTTGTTCATTCAGGCACCCCCACTGAAGAGAACTGGCCCGGAATCTCATCCATCGAGGAGTTTAAATCCTATAATTTTCACAAATACAAGCCTCAGCTGATCATCAACCACGCTCCCAGGTACAGTGTTTTCTGCCTTGGCCCTGAACTAAACTAGGCCCAAACACATAATAATTAAAGTCTAATCCTATATAATTTCCTATTGCTTTGTGTCCAGACTCGACAGTGAAGGCACCGAGTTACTTCTCTCTTTCCTCAAAGTATGTTTCCAAAAAATATTAGTTGATTAATAGAACAATAATCTCAATGTTAATTAATGTTTTAAATGTTTTCAGTATGAATCAAAGAAGAGGATTTCTGCTGAAGATGCGATGAAGCATTCGTACTTCAGGCAGCTGGGAATGCGAGTCCACAACCTGCCAGAGAGTGAGTATTTCAAACGGGACACTGTGTATTTGAATATTCCAGACTTTAATTATTATAATGATTAATGTCATTTTTACTGCACCGTACATGTGAAGGTTTTTCTAAACTACTGTATTAGATTAGAAACAATTTTGCTATCATAAAAAAACAATTGGTCTCAAATATATTTCCAGATAGTCTTTTCGAAGGCTGCATGATTGGAAATCAATCAATCAATCAATCAAAGTTTATTTGTAGAGCGCCTTTCATACACATGGCAACACAAAGCGCTTCACAGTCCACATCACAAATCATCACATAAAACAAACACCAGAATCACAATTAAAACATTAAAATCACACAAAAGATTAAAACACAATTAAAACATTAAAATCACACAAAAGAATAAAACCATTAAAACTTTCAAAATTACACAAGAAATTTAAAAAAATAAATAAATGACAGCAGTGCATTAAAAATGGAGATAAAATCCTTCAGTTGTATGCACAGGCAAACAGAACAGTCTTTAACCTGGATTTGAACATTGACAGAGTAGACGCCTCCCTCACATTTTCAGGGAGATTGTTCCAGATCTTAGCTGCATGGATCTGAAACGCAGCCTCCCCATGTTTGGTTCTCACTCTGGGCACCAGCAGGAGGCCAGTCCCTGTGCTCCTCAGAGTCCGGGCCGGTTCATATGACACCAACATGTCACTAATGTATTCTGGTGCAAGGCCATGGAGAGACTTGTACACAAGCAGAGCCGTTTTAAATTCTATTCTTTGAGCCACAGGAAGCCAGTGCAGAGACCTGAGGACCGGACTAATATGGTCATACTTCCTGGTTCCTGTCAGGACTCTAGCTGCTGCATTTTGGATGTACTGCAGCTGCTTACAGGTCTGTTTGGACAGACCTGTAAGCAGGCCATTGCAGTAGTCTAGCCTGCTGGAGACAAATGCATGGACAAGAATCTCCAAGTCTGCCCTGGACACTATATTTCTAACTTTGGCAATGTTCTTCAGATGGTAAAAAGCTGTTGATGTTATTGATTTTATGTGGCTATTGAAATTTAGGTCTGAGTCCAGTATTACCCCCAAATTTCTGACCTTGTCTGAAGGAAGTAGGGAGAGAGACTGAAGTTGACAAATGACGCCCTCTCTTTGTTTCTGGGGACCAAAGACAATGATTTCGGTTTTGTCTGTATTTAGCTGGAGGAAATTATTTTGCATCCAGTCACTGATCTGTTGGATACAGTGAAGGAGCAAATCCAGTGGTCCATGTTCTCCTGCAGTCAGTGAGACATAGATCTGAGTGTCGTCAGCGTAATTGTGGTAGGACACTTTGTTTCTTTGTATTAACTGACCTAACGGCAGCATGTAGAGATTAAATAGGAGAGGTCCCAGGATCGACCCCTGTGGTACACCACAGGTCAGGGCCACATCATCTGAGACGCAGTCTCCAATCTCCACAGAGTACTTCCTATCCTCCAGGTAAGACCTAAACCAGTCTAGGGCTGTGCCAGTGACACCAGCCCAGTCCTCCAGTCTCTGCATGAGGATCTCATGGTCGACAGTGTCGAACGCGGCACTAAGATCTAACATGACCAAAACTGTGACTTTACCTGCATCAGTGTGAAGTCGAATGTCGTTTGTTACCTTCACTAGAGCGGTCTCAGTGCTGTGGTGGGGTCTAAACCCAGACTGGAACATATCAAAAGAATTATTCATTGTTAAAAATTCAGTAAGTTGTTGGGAGGCCACTTTTTCAAGAATTTTTCCAATAAATGGCAGATTCGATATGGGGCGATAATTTTGAAGTCCCGCAGGATCCAGACTGCTCTTTTTTAGGAGAGGTCTTATGACTGCTGTTTTTAGGGCCATAGGAAATGTTCCTGACGACAGAGACATGTTTACTATTTGTGTCAGTGAAGGTAACAAACTGCTCAGGACGGACTTCAGAAATTTAGAGGGCAATATATCCAGGCTACATGTGGAGGAGCTCAGACTCATGATTATCTTTTTGACAGTTTCAGTATCCACAGGTGCAAAGTGAGTTAGCTCAGAAAGCTTCTCTGGCTGTTGCATTGTTATACGTGCTGTGGAGGTGATAGTGTTTTTGATTCCTTGTACTTTGTCATCGAAAAACTGTGCGAACTCATTACACCTAGATTTAGAGGAAAATTCTAGGGGCAACTTTACAGGGGGGTTCGTTAATCTACCAACTGTTGAAAACATAACACGAAAATTGTTACTGCAACCTCCAATAATGTCAGAAAAATACATTTCTCTTGTTCTACGTAGAACCCGGTTAAATTCACCCAACTCATCTTTAAAGATTTCATAATCGCCCTGGAAATTGGACTTTCGCCACTTCCGTTCGGCCCTCCGGCACTCTTGCTTCTGTGCCCTAACCGAGTCTGCCTTAGTCCATGGGGCCTTTTTCTTACTGGTAACTATTTTAACCGTCACAGGAGCAATGGCGTCCAGAACAGTCAGAACACTGGTGGTGACAGAGTTATACAATTCATCAACAGTAGAGCATGGAGTTTTCTCAAAATTTAGCATTCCCATGAACAGTTCACTTGTGTTTTCATGTAATTATTTACACTTATTTCAGGAAATAAGTGTGATATGAGAGGGTGGTGTAAAGGACTGTCAAAATCAGAATCAGAATAATTTTTATTGTCACGTAAGTAACAGGAAGTCACAGATAAAGACATTGCTTTGGCTATCGGTGCAAATAAGGTTAAAGTACTCAACATACATTTCTAAAATATAAAAGTTTAAGTTTTTACAAGTATAACTATACACAATATACAAGTGCACTCATTGCACACAATTGACATTTGACATTAAGCAGTGCAATGAAACGATAAAAAAGAGCTGTGGCAACCAGGCGCACCACCGTCTTAAACATTGCTTTATTTTCCATTGCCTAAAGAAATCGATATGCATTTTGGGAACTGAACAAATCTTTTTGTTCTTTCCAGCCACCATACTAAAACGGTATGGGGGCTCTAGTTGTTTATGCATGCAAGAAACACATTATTTAGACATGTTTGCGATATGCACTTGCTATATTCACAATAAAAAATGTATTTTGAAATATAGATAGATAGATAGATAGATCTCCTCTGTAGGAGAAATTCAGGTGTCCAGTAGCCGCAAAAATAAAAATAAAATTCATAATGCTAAAAACATAATGATAATAATAATCAGCAACAGCCCTTTAAGTCACAGCAGCATAGGTGGAGCAGGACGGGTCACAGCAGCAAAGATGGAGTAGCCTCTGGGTGGAGCACGACAGGTCGCAGCAGCCCATATTGAGTAGCCTCTGGGTGGAGCAGGACGGGTCACAGCAGCACAGATGGAGTAGCCTCTGGGTGGAGCAGGACAGGTCACAGCAGCACAGATGGAGTAGCCTCTGGGTGGAGCAGGACAGGTCGCAGCAGCCCATATTGAGTAGCCTCTGGGTGGAGCAGGACGGGTCACAGCAGCATAGATGGAGCAGCCTCTGGGTGGAGCAGGACGGGTCACAGCAACAGAGGTGGAGTAGCCACTGGGTGGAGCAGGACAGATCAAAAGGTGGAGTACCCGCTTGATTCGGACCCTTTTCTCTGCTCTAGTCCAAAGTAAAATGCTATATGCTTCATTAGCATTTTTTTAAAAGTTAGCATTCCTCCAGTGGAGTTTCACCTGATCCGCTTGGTTTGGACCATGAATCCTCTCCGTTCTGGTCTGGACCAGTGCAAAACCATGAACACTGTACTGCAGCAACATCTCCGGCAGAAAAAAGCAAGAAAAATAAAAATTGATTAAGCACAAAGCAACAACTGTTTTAGAGCTACTTAGGACTTGCAGCCGTTTCCAAGCCATAGTTGTCTAGTCTTGAGTAAATTGACAAAAAAATACATCTCCTACCGAATGTGTGAATTTGCTCTGTGGTGCAATACTTGGAACAGAGCCACATTTCTCATGATGAGCTGTTCTTTTTCTACATTGAGTAATTTCAAAGCATCAGCAGTGTGTACTACTACTACTACTACTTCATGGGCAGTCCTAATGCATATCATTGTGGTTTTGTCTCAGATGTTTCCATGTTCACGTTGAAGGAGGTGCAGCTTCAGAGAGATCCAGGCTACAGGAACACTGCGTATACAGACTCAAGTAAGACACCACTCATGAACTGTGGATCCTTAGATTGGCCTGTTCTGAAAGGCACTGTAAAGACTAAATGAAAACTATCAAATTTGAAGCCCTCACATAACTTTTATACTGTACATCAGCCATTCCCAAACTCAGTAACACCGAGGCCCCCTTAAAAATCTGTCGGGTCTGTGTGGCCCCCCAAAATAATAACCAAGAAGACAACATTAAGAATAGGCTCTTCTGGTTATTTTATTTTGGAGAAATAGCCTCTGCTACAAATATTGTAATACAAAAATGATTACAGTGGATTATTCAAGTCAAATAATGAACACAAATATTTTAATATTACAAACAAAACATTATAAATTTAACATTAAATAATTATATTATTTTTTTTATTTTTTTTATGACCTCCCGCGGCCCCCCTGCAGTACCCTCGCGGCCCACCAGGGGGCCGCGGACCCCACTTTGGGAGACACTGCTGTACATGACAACCAGGGCGCTAAATGACAAGAGCAAAAAGACTACACATTCAGTTGCTTATTTGAATACACTCAACTTATAAAACACGTTGATTTATTCAGTTTATTGTACATGATTGTGATGTTAATGTTGTTGTAGATTAACCAAAATAATTGTTCTTTTCTCATTCAGATAACAAGATTAACCGAAGACAGAGCATGTTGTTTTAAAGATCTCCTCTTGGACCAACCTGTGTCGCATGAGCCCAGCTGCCCTCTACTGTTTATTATCAGTACTACACCCCAATACCACACACACACACACAAGCAAACAAGCAAGCGCACACACAGAGTTTTTATTTATTAGAATGGGGTTGCTGCTAAAATACTACTGTTTGTATTTAACAAACTTTGTGCGTGAACATGATGTGAACTGTCAGTTTACTATTGTCCTGCTTCTACACTGATTTTTTTTAGTTTAATTTAAATTTGTTGACGCTGTGAACCAAGTAGTTGTTTAATGTTGTCGCTTGGAAACAGTTTCTCCATTTTGTTAAATATGTAAATGTATATGATATATATATTTCAATTGTATGTTTTTCTCCGAGCTTCCGTGACTGAACTCTGAACCACGTTTCCAGGTGAACGGCTAAAGAGGACTGGACTCTTCTTCATGTTGTACTCTTTAATGAGATTATTTTGAGTTGTGAATTTTTCCTTTGTCTTTTGTATTTTATCATGGACTCTAAACTGGTCTCCAGAGTTAAACTTACAAATTGCGATGATGAAATTAATATACTTATCTTTTGAATTACTGGGGTGTGGTGCTGGTTGCATGAGCTAAATTAATTTTAATCAACAATTTGAAATGACTAAAAGTCTGAATGTACATGACCAACCCGCACTTAAGGTTGACTAACAAAACAACAAGGCTGCAGCTACCAATTTTAAGTTAAAATCTACTGATTATCTCATTTTATCAATACCGTAATTCATTGTTTACGTTCTACATAACGCAAACGTATATTAAATATGAGTTTTATTTTAAGAAGTAAGTAATCACAATCGGATCACATTTTTAAGTCATTATAATGACTGAGATAACGTAAGGAGCTCAGTCACACAGGAGAAGCTCAGAGTAAAGCGGCTGCTCCTCCATTGTTGAGTGGAACCAGCTGAGGTGAATTGGGTATGTCCCACAGGGGCCCTGGGAAGACCCAGGACATCCTGGAGGGATCTCTCACCTGTTCTAGGAGCATCTCTGTTCGGACTGCAGACTCTGCGACCTGGTGGAAAAAAGTGGATGGATGTACATTATTACAATTATCCTGTCAAAAAATGTGCCATAGTACCAGCCCCAGGTTATTATTATTATTATTTAAAGGTTTGGTTCAATAGCACACTTGATTCACAAGTTGCATTGGGACCAAACAGTAAAAAGCAGTGGGAGGAGGAAGTGCAATGTCTTTTGAAATTCCAGAAACTGCCAGGACAGGTTGCTTTTGTTAAATTAAAAAAGCAAAAAAAATAAATAAACAGGATCCTTCTTCTTTGGTGTGAAATTTCAATGCAGTAACTTCTAACTTGCACTTAATGTTTTTGTTGTTTGAATCAGGGACTGGAGGTAACCCAACAGTATTATAAGACCCGTTTTGTTACGCGGCATAGATTTCTCATGAAAGGAGGGATCAAAATGGCTTGGGTCAAAAATGACAGAAATCTCCATTTAGAGCACACATTTTTTCCAATGAAAAATCTCCTCAAATAATGATATGTGATGTATTTATGAATAGTATCCAGTTGTGGGTGCAGAAATGTATGGAATGTTTTGTCCATTGCCTGTTGAATAAGCTAAAATACATTTTCTATGCAGTTTAAGACATTGTGTGAATATGTTGTTTTAAATGCTTTTTAATTGACTGGGCGTCTGGACAGTTGGTCATTCAAACATTATTTTGAACTTTTTGTTTTTGCTACATGTCAACAATAATTGATGTGATTGAGTTGAATCATAACAACCATAATTAAGCTTTAAATGTCCAACTTAACTGTATATATCAGTTACTATTGAAGTTTTGAGAAAATAAAGTACAAGATTTCATTTTTGAAAAGTAAACCATGTGATAAACAGATATTGAGTGTCATTATTGATACAAATTTGCACAAAATCATATATTTTTTTAATATGAGCCAAATTGAATGAATGAATTACATTTGAGGAGATCTTTTCATTGTCGCTTGTCTAACCTCACATTTCCAAACCGTACAAAATGCACATTTTCCTCAGTTAGTAGCACTGGTCTATTAACTGTTCTAATACTTAATGTATATATCTAGCATGCGTAAATGAAGATTTCTGCAACAACGGTCTCATATTTTTTAAAACTGTATTTTCAGATGTTGAATGGGCGGTTTAGATGTGAGTGAATGGTTGTTAATGCATGGAAAGCCTGCTGTTGTGATCCTATCAAACACTGAGCTGGTGGTGAACCTTGTGACTTTTTACTGGAACTATTTATTTCTCATAACCATCTAAAGTAAAATTTAATCTGTTTCATAAACTGCCTTGTTTTGTAGTCATTTGTGGAGTCATTGTTTGAGTTTGAAGTAATGGAAAGAAAGCTGGAAAATACAATACTAGTCAGTATTTGTGAGTTATTAAATCAATGTACAGTATTTGGTTGATGTGGTAATTGGAGCATTCTAAAAAAAAAACTATTCCAACCAGGTGTGTTGAAAATGCAATGCAATCAGCCAATTATATTTATTGATAGAGACAATATAAACATCTATGTTCTATGAACTGTGCTATACAAACTTGCCTTGCATTATATTGAACAAGTCATTGCTGGGAAACATTTGTTCAGTTATGTCCTTATGTTTTGTTTGTTTTAAACCTGTTTATTCTTCCATAAGACGTTCCCTACTATGTGAAATTGTCCCGTGGCAGTAATAGCTCCATGCAGCACTCATTTGCACAGATCATCTTTGCGCTGTAGTCCCGCCTCCACCTTTAAACTGTGCCAGCGCCAACCACACAGGACGGTACAGGACGGAACAGGACGGTACAGTGTCTGTGGGTACAGGGGTACAATGAGCCCCGCTACTGAGGAGCCCGTCTGGAGGAAAGTTCCGTCTGTCAGCGGGGTGATCCCCCGGTCCAGACACGGCCACCGAGCTGTATCTATTCGGGAACTCATCGTCGTTTTCGGCGGAGGAAACGAAGGGATAGCGGAGGACCTCCATGTGTACAACACTGGTGAGCTAATGCTCAAGCTAAAGATGCTAATGTTTTTAGCATTCCCCAATGTTAAAAAGCTCAAATGTAGCGATACTCTCAATAAGTTCAAATACTTGTGATTCTAGGAAATTATATTATCACTAACTGTGATTCAATGTAGAAGATCAAATTGCCTCAAAATTACCGGAATTCAATACTTTAGTACGTCAAGTTGTGCTAAGGTCAGATATGTGCAAACACATAACCCGTAAGTAATAAATGTACACAAAGAAGGTTTTCATGGAGCAGTATAAATAATGTGGTCAGAACATACATTGTCCTTAGTCAACAACTGTGATACTTTCATCACAGTTGTTACAACCCCAGCAGGTGCAGTTCCAATAAGTTATTACAGATTCATAAATATATGCTTCTCTTATAGAAATGCAGTTATATTTCACTTCAAATGTTTTAGGACATTTTGATGTTGCTGCGTGCATGCATACAAAAAAGTCCTATTTACATTAAATCAAGTCATTCCCCTGTGTTACTGTAACTAATGAATATGTTTGATAATCGATTGATCCAGTTATTTTTACTAATTTATTAGATGTTAAAATGCAAGTATTGAGTTCTATCTTCATCTGATCTACATAAAGCTGAATTAAAAAGAATTTTATAATTAAATGAGACATTAACACTTTTTTTTCCCAACGTAATCACTGAACTTGTTGAGTCAGTTATACACATAACTCTGAAAATACTTTTGCTGTTAACAAATAATCAATGATTATAATTGTTGATTATAGAAAAAAAACTTAATTAATTTTGATTCGTCAATCTATCATTACAGTCATAGGAATGTATATGTATACCATGCTATACCTTAATTCTAATTGACATCAAATGTATCCTTCCCCAGTATCCAAACAGTGGTTCCTTCCTGCAGTGAGAGGTGACATACCTCCTGGCTGCGCTGCACATGGTTTTGTTTGTGATGGGGCGAGAATTCTTGTATTTGGTGGAATGGTGGAATTTGGAAAATATTCTAACAGTCTTTATGAATTACAGGTAATCTTAACTTCTTTTACACTTTCCCAGATTATACTATTTCATTGTTTTAGTTCTTCTGATTAAACTTTATAAATGTTGGTTTGTAGGCAAGTCGCTGGCTCTGGAAGAAGCTGAAGCCTCGAGCCCCAAAGACAGGCTTTCCCCCCTGTGCTAGAATTGGTCACAGTTTTACTTTGGCAGGAAACAAATGCTATCTTTTTGGAGGATTAGCAAATGACAGTGAGGACCCCAATGGAAACATTCCACGGTATTGTGAAATGCTCATCAATAGAAATGTTTTTAAACTCGTTAACACAATAGTTTAGAAAAAAGATGCCACTGCCTATGTCTATGGCCAATAATAGTTTGGTTAAGCATTTTGAAAAAGAAAAAAGGGTTTCTCCCTAGGATTAGCCCGTTACAATAATATATTTAATTTTAACCAGTTATTTAGGAGACTTGTTTGAGTTGGAGTTACAATCCATATCGGGAGCAAGAGGCTGGAGCATTCCAGAGACCACAGGAGGAGGACCTTCAGCCAGAGAGTCCCATACAGCAGTGATCTACACTGGGCAGAGCTCCTCAAAACTCTATGTGTTTGGAGGCATGCAAGGCTCGCGCTTAAACGACCTCTGGCAGCTGGACTTAGGTATATTTTGTTGTATTATACTTATCTGTTACTTACTTATGTATTACTTATCTGTTACGTTTTTTAGATACAATGGTTTGGTCAAGCCCTGAAACAAGAGGCTGCAAACCTTTTCCCAGAAGCCTACACACAGCAAATGTCATTGGAAATAAGTATGTCTTAAAAAATCTTTTGAAAGTTAAATAAGCTCAATATACACTAAGTCTTATTGTCTCCTATACAGAATGTATGTGTTTGGAGGTTGGAGGCCAATACCTGAGACTGCAAGAGATAAAGTCATTGGAACTGAATGGATTTGCTCAAATTCTTTGAGCATCTTGAACTTGGGTTAGTTAAGATTTGTACAATTTGAAATCCACAAATACTCTAAGGAGTTGTACATGATGTACACTTTTTTATTGTCTGCTTGAAATAAACTAAACTTAAAAGTAGTGATATGATTTGTGCTAGAAGAAGGCCAAGAGTATTTAAAAAGTAGTCATATGAAGTACAACTACTCTGTAATATAGATTTTTTTAGCAGTTTAGCAGCTACTTCTGGTTACATGAGAACATAAAACACAACACATTCTTATGTGATATAAAACTACTAGAAAACCCCTCTATCCCCTTAATCTCAACTTCTGATTAAATTCAATCACTTTCATGACAAGGTGGTTTGCATCAGTAATCAGAGCTTTGGAGCTACATGTGTCACAGGCAGGAAGATTCTGGCAACAAAGGTTGGATTGTAATTTAAATAACTTTATTAGGCCAATAATTGTGTATATCACATATATAGTGGAAACGAAAACTTGGTGACATCTCAATAGTAGTAAATCCTAAGGGCACGTGATCTGAAGCTGACATCATGCCTTTGACTGATGTCTTCTGCAGACACAATGAGTTGGCAAAATCTGGATCCTGAGCCTGTGGAGCCTGAGGATGTTCAGTGTCAGCTGGAGAGTAAGGGCCCTCAGGTGGAAGACCCTTATTCCCTCCAGCCCAGGGCGCGGGCGGGACACTGTGCTGTTGCTGTGGGCTCCAGACTCTATGTTTGGAGCGGACGAGATGGCTACAGGAAGAGCTGGAGCTATCAGGTCTGCTGCAAGGACCTATGGTATCTTGAGACTGGTGAGAAAAAAGTTTTATTATTGAATTCACTTCTTACAATAATTAAATTGTGTTAGATTTAAGTTATTTATATGAGATCATTCCCAGATCAATTGTGTCTGTTTGTATCGTCACATGATCACGATGATTTGTTTTTGCTCTCAGAACTTCCTTCCACTCCAGAGCCCGTGTTGCTCATCAAATCCACAGTGAACATGCTGCATGTGGCGTGGCGCCCCCTAGCTGCAGCAGACTGTTACCTCCTCCAGATTCAGCCAGCAAGTTCTACCACTGATCAAAATCAAGAATCAAATAAACAGCTAAATGAAGAAAGGAGGTTGGGGGATGTGGCCGGCAAGTTTTTTTTAGAGCTCTTTTGCTAAAATCAAGTCCAGATTTATTTCATAGTTATTTCTTTTTACAGGCAACACCACTCAGACTCAACAAGAAGAAACTACAAATGACAGACAGCTCCCACTCATTAAAGTAAGTAGTGAGTAAGCGTTCTCATTAAACAACATTTTGTTTATTAGATATACATATATTATTAGATTGTGGGAGGCTTTCAAAATAACTGTTTGAAAATTTCTAGGAAAATGAAGAGAAAACTGCAGAGAGCTCAAATCCCAAACACGGTGAGTCACATTTACAAACACATTTTTTCTTTCGGAAGAAAACAATAAATATTGTTTTTATGTGTAGACGAACAGGAAACTTCTACAGGAGGCATCTCTTCTCAATTCAGTAAGTGGCTTTTCATTCACTTTAAGATAGAAGATGTTATTTATATGTTTTTACTTTTTTGTTTTTGTTTGTAGAAGCCGAACAAAACCAACAAGTATGGAACAAACTTTAGTAGTATTTAACATCTTTTAATAAGTCACAATTATTCAGTCTTAGTGTCATGTTTTCCAGTGCGCACAGGGCTCAGACACTGGCCTGTGGTTTGATGTTGGTGTCTTTAAAACACTTTTCTCTGAGGTGAATCACTTTTATCTCCCGTCTGACAATGACCAGACCACAGCAGCTGCCACCAATCGAACCATAAGCATTAAAGAGGTACCGCATTTCATGGATTTTTATTTTGAAACAATGTTCCTTTTTAAGTGAAAACATATTTCACAGTGTTTTTTGTTAACATGCAACAGCCAATACAATCTTCATAAGTTACTAATTGTAATCATATCTTTTTTAACATAAGATTAATTTGTGTGAGCTTTTGATCACATCCAGCAGAAAATCGTTTCTAGTTATGTTGTTTCTTCTTTCTATTTTCTGCTGATGCAGAAGAGAGTCCTGGGACCTCATGACTACCAGGGGTGCAACAGGGAGGAGCTGTCCCCAGGGCAGACCTACAGGTTCAGAGTGGCTGGGCTCAATTACTATGGAGCTGGAGCCTTCAGTCCTGTCAGTGAGTTCAAGACCTGCCAGCCGGGGTTTCCTGGAGCTCCTTCCGCAGTCAAAATCACTAAGGTAAGATGTTTGTTCCAAGGATCAGGAACTGAGGATTTCTGTGGCTTTCAAAATGTAACAATGCCAGTCGCCGCAGTGATTAATTTAAAATGTTTTTGTATTTGTATTTTGATTAACACCCTGACTAACTTTATTTATTTAGTTCAGTATAGCCCCATAAGATGAACCATCTTTTCAAGGGTGTCCTGAGACAGCAGGATAAAACAAATATTTTACAGTTTACAGACAATAAAAGCACAAAAATCGGAACAATTAGCATTCACATTCATTCACCACACTTTCAGCACCGCACTCCCAGACCCTCACCCTCAGATTCCCACAGCTGACACTAGCCATGTTGTCGACTGAGAGCCCCAACCTTTGAATACATTTTCAAGTGTTTTCAATGCTTTAAGGTATACAGGAGGATTTTCTACTTCCGGGTGGATCATCAAGACTATTGGTCCTCCCAATTGTCAATCATTCTGGTGATACTTGCTCGTCAAATAAGCTCAAAGAGTTTTGTTCAAATAGGGGCGGTTCTTTTGAAACATTTTGGAAAATCCTTATGTACCTTTTTTAGTAAAAGAACACATTGAATATTTTGCATTAGAATTTTTCATTAAAAAAAATAAAAAAAAGTACAACTTTAAATTGTGGCAGGGAGGATGGCGACCGCAGTTCCATGGGCATATTATTCTAGTCATGAGCCTCTAAAATGTATTCTTTATGGGATCTACATTATACATACAAACCTAATAACTAATTGTAAATGTTTTCTTCTGTTAGCTTAATGACACTGTGCACATTGCCTGGGACGCTCCCTCCTCTCCATCAGGAAAGATCATGGAATACTCCATGTATCTGGCAGTGAAGAAGAGCCGGTCTGCCTGCTCTGAACGCCCGGGACAGATGGGCTTTATCCGCATCTACAGAGGCACAAAGACGTCCTGCTCCGTCAGTTCGTCCCATTTAGAGAATGCCCACATCGACTCCTCCCAGACCAACCGCCCTGCTGTGGTCTTCAGGATCGCTGCCAAGAACGACCAGGGCTACGGTCCAGCCACGCAGATACGCTGGATACAAGGTGGGAACAGTACAGTGGGCTAGCTAGATCATTATTTCGATTTTGTTATTTTGAAGATGTATGGAAACAATATATAAACATGCACTTTGAACAATACAGGAAACTGCACTGCTAAAAAAGAAAGTTTTTGCATTTAGATTTCATAGATTGCAACATTTGTCAGGATAGATATACATTTTGCCAGTATGTCATCCTTGGAAAATGTAGTTATAGGTTGTGCCAAAAAGTACCACCTAACATCTTTGTAGCAGAGGATTGTTGAGAATTGATCATTATTTGTATTTTTTTAGTTTCTTCTAATATTCAAAACTCCACATCCAAAGCAGACAGCAGTACAGCTGAGAAAGCTGACAGGTAAGCTATTAGTAAGATACTTCAAATAGATATATATATATATATATATATATATATATTATAATTAATTATATTTTAATAATGTTTATCTTTAATCTGCTTTATGTTACAGCTCAGGTTGAAAATCCTTGATACAGCTTTCTATTTTTGATAAGCGACTCAGGAAGTGGTTTGGACACTAAAGGTGTACAATGTAATATAGTTTTGTTAATTTATTTTTGTATGTATTTAATTGCTCCCTGTACATGTGTGTGCATAGGTTTAACCACTTTTAAAAGGTTACTGATAATATGTTTATGAGCTTTATATTTCTATTAGAGGCCAGTGCTTTTTTCCAGTTTCACATGAATTTAATATGATGTAGTCCAACTGTATGTTGGTTAACTAAAACACGTTAAGCATATTTGGTTATGTATTGATTGTGTCATTCTGAACATAAGCACTTGAGGTTGAACAATGTAAAGAACGTTTTGACACTTAAACCTGATAAATTCACAAGTATAATGTAGTGTCCACACATGTTAGTTATTATGCTGTTGTCTTTCTTAAGAGAATTTTGCGTGACCTTTTTCTTTGTTATATTACAGTTTAGTTATTGTTCTTTTCCATGACTAATTTCGTAGTTGTTATATTTATCTATTTATGTTTGGATAGTATTTTGTGGTCCAATATGTTCATGATTGGTTCTTGATTTATTTCAATTTCACTATACCTTGAATAATTCCGGTTTGAGTCATTTGCATATGACCCATCCTTTCAATGCAGCTTTGCCCATGAAATTTATACTTACAAAAAATAAAGGAATCTGGATAAATAATTTCAGCTTGTACAAAGCTGTTGTAATAAAGTTCATGATTTACGGTGTATAAGTACAGTGTCTGTCGTTTATGTTGTGTCCAGTTCTGAACATGATTCGGAGAGCGCGTATGTAGTGGACGTCTCTCCCACAAACGATCTTTGGGTTTTATCTTATTCCCCATCATGCATCAGTTTGTAGTCACCAGATGAGCTAGAGGGTTAGCACCATGGTTAGCACACGGCTAACTTTATCGGTAAAAGGGTAAATAGCGACGGCCTCGAGACTGAAGAGAGGTAAAACATTAAATACACAGTGGAGTTACCAGCCCCGCCCCGTTACAGGACTTATGTTTATATTTAATGCACTGGTTAGCTAACTAGCTAACGCCGAACATTTAGAGAAGCTGTGCAGCCGATATGTATTGTATTCATTTGCGCTGTTCTCTGCGTGTGTAAAAGTGAATTGTGGCCATTGATTTGTTTTGTGCATTTCCATGTTTTAAATGGTCGTTAGAATAATAGTAAAATATAGGCCAGTATTCAAAAGTGGGCGTCCCCTCAACGATCTGCGTTATAGTTGTGGCACCGCGCGACCTTTGAAAACATTTCAAGTCGATGTTGCAGTTTTATTTGATAAAAGGTTAGCATATTATGTATGCACCTTCATATAGTTGTAAATTCATAGTTTTATATGTGCTGAATGCAATATTGTAAATCGTAGTCAAAACCCACCCATTTTCGTGATTCATTGTACTTTAAATGGCTGACTTTAAGTAACGACAATCACCACTTGATCTTGGTTTCCACAACAGAAGCATACTTGAGATAAGGGCTAATCACTTGAGACCCATTCACACACAGCTCTAGGTTATATATAAATAAGCTGTGAGAGCCCATCTTGGCCTCCATGGTTACTGCAACAAACCTTGACGTGCACCATTATAGTCTACACTACTGCTTTGCTCATGCTGCCTGTCGGATTCATAACTTGCAGTCATTTCATATTGTGAGTTATCTTTGTAAATCCACAAGGGAGATGAGTACTGCTCTTGGCCAGTCTGCCCCACTCCCCTCGAGCATGGAGGCAGGTATGGGACGGTCTGTGGCGATGCTGGGGCTGTCGGCGAGTGTCGGGGGAGCAGAGATGGAACTGCAAAAGATACTGATTGATGAACGGATGAAGAGTGAAAACCACAGGACCAACTATCAGACACTCAAGGCAGAGCACACCAGGTAAACCATATATATAATATATATTTATATACATACATAAAGGTATACTATTGTGTTGTTGCAACAACACATCAGTAGGGTTAAAATAACCTGACTCACGACGGTCTAAACCCAGCTCACGTTTTGCAGGGGGAATCAGAAATAGCGATGATGTAGGTTTTTAAATATTATGCAATGTATATCTACAGTCTCCAAGATGAGTTCACCAGAGCACAGCATGATCTGCGGCGGTTGTTGAGTGACCGACAGACTCAACAGGAGAGACAGCAGCTGCTTTTGGCTGAGCTCAGAGGAGAACTGCTGGACAAGACCCGGGAGCTGGAGGACCTGCGACTGCAGGTGCAAACATGTTTCACTTAACAGAGTTAAGAAATTGTCGTCTTTGAAATAAGTCAAACTAAAGTAAACTTAAAACTTGTGATTTCAGATCATGACCCCTCAGCGTCTGGAGTTGCTTAGAGCTCAGGTCCAACAGGAGATGGAGGGCCCCATCAGAGAGCGCTTCAACAAGCTTGAAGAGGTCTGTCCTTTACATACAGTCTTAAATGCTAATTATTGTTTGATTGCCTTTTAGTGTACACAAATACAAATCAGTTCAAAACTCCATTAATATGATCTTTTTTACAAAACAAAACGTTCTTATGAAATAAGATAAACTTTATTGATCTCACAATGGAGAAATTTACATGTCACATATAGATAGAATCATTCACAATAAAAACATGATCGTACTTAAATGGAAACTTGAGTGGTTGTTGAAGTTCTGGAGACAAATCGCAAGATAAACTGAAGTAAACTCTTTCAGTTGTTCTCTGACTGATGTAATCTGTGCCTGCAGGAGGCGGAAAGATACAGGTCTGAGTACAACAAACTGCGGTACGACTTCACGCTTCTCAAGTCTCAGTTTGACCATCAGCAGGAGGAGCACTTCAGGACCCTGGAGGAGCGCAAGATTGTCTATGAAGCCGAGGTAGATCTGGGAACAGGACTTTTACGACGGTCTCCTTTAATTATTTTTGCTAGTGATGAGCAAACAATACCGAAGCTCTGGAGCTTGTAATGCTCTTCCTGAAGCAGACTGCTTCGAAACACTGCGTTGGAGCATGTATCAAAATGTGTTTTCCCTTCACCAGATTTGACTGTTTAGTTTAAACTAGAATAGATGAATTGATTGGTAGGTTTTAAGCAAAAGCTCTACTACTGTGGTAAAATTCATGAAGTTGACAAGGCCTTGATAATTCTGTTCCCACAAATGGTTTTGTGACAGAAGATCTTTTACAAGGCTCAATTTTGATGTTATCCCAAATTTTGTCAGATTTGTCGCCTGGAGAAGGACCGGGAGGACCTGGTGGCTCAGTTCCAGGGCGTGGACCCCCTGTGTGACGGTAAGCGTGTGGAGGTGCTGCTCAGGGAGAAGGCCCAGCTTGTGATGCGGCTGAAGGGGCTGCAGATGGAGGTCACCGAGCTCCGGGCCCAGAGGGAGAACTCCGGGCAACAGGCAGAGAGTGTGCAGCGCATTCAGGTTCGGCAGATCTCTGAAGCCCAGGCTGCTGTCAAGACTTTGGAGGTAAACAAAAAGGGTGGAGGGGTTTTGCATTTGTGTTTTGTATTTATTTATTTGTTCCTTTCATGAAAATGCTTTGTTCACATGTTCACACAATAATAGTTACAATATGTATTATTATCAATCAATCAATCAAATTTTATTTATAAAGCGCTTTTCATACAAAAAGTGTAACACAAAGTGCTTTACAGTTTAGTTAAATACAATCCAACATGCCCAGCCCTAAACCCTCCTCCCCACAGACCCCCCCAAAACCACATTTATAATTATATATACAACCACATGCGTATACACACACACACATATACACCCACACACACACACATACACACACACACAAGTATAAAGTCATATCAGGTAAAATAGGTAAAACAATAAAAGGAAATGGGGCTGGGAGCAGGTGTAACCGGCTGAAGAAGCGTCATCCAAGGAGCCATCTGCACCAGGAGCAGAGAGCCGGCTGCAGCCACAGGCAACGACACAGGACCCAGAGGAGAGAGGGGCCCCAGACCCCACCAGGCCCAGGACTCAGACCCCATAGGACCCAGGGGAGAGAGGAGGCCCCAGACCCCCACTGGATCCAAGAGCCGGACCCCCGAAGCCGCAGCAGACCCCAGCTCCCAGTGCAGAGGGCTCCTCCAGAGGAAACACTGGGGACACTAAAACAATACAATAATACAATAGAAAGTAGAACAATAAAAAGAAAAATAATAAAAATAAATAAACATAGAATGTGTCTAAAAACATAAATAGATGTACTAAAAAGCAATAATAAATAATAAATACTAATCAAAAGCTACTCTAAAAAGGTGCGTCTTGAGCCTACTCTTAAAAATATGAACGTTCTCTGCGGCCCTGAGCTCCTCCGGCAGACTGTTCCAGAGACGGGGGCCGTAGTGCTGGAAAGATGCCTCGCCGTGAGTGTGTGTCCTGACTTTGGGGATGGTTAGGAGTCTGCTGCCGGAGGAGCGCAGGGGCCGGGAAGGTTCATAGGATAAAAGCAAATCTGAAAGATAAGAAGGCCCAAGACCATTAAGACATTTAAAAACCATTAAAAGAACCTTAAAATCGATCCTGAAACACACGGGGAGCCAATGCAGCGATTTTAAAACCGGTGTAATGTGGTCCCGCCCCCTGGTCTTAGTCAGGACACGTGCGGCCGAGTTTTGAAGTAATTGTAAACCTGAAATGTTCTTTTTGGGAAGACCAGAGAGCAGGGCATTACAGTAGTCAATGCGACTGGTGATAAAAGCATGAATCAGCGTCTCCGTGTTGGCCCGAGAGAGAATGGGGCGGACTCTGGCGATGTTCTTTAAATGATAAAAACCTCTTTTTGTGATATTCTTTATGTGAGGAATAAAAGTCAGCTCAGAGTCAAAGATTACGCCCAGGTTTCTCACTTGTGATGATGGATTAAAAGAGTGTGATTGGAGTTTCGGTAAAAGTTTCTCTCTCTGGGCCTCAGGACCGATGACTAAAACCTCAGTTTTGTCCTGGTTGAGCTGAAGAAAGTTTTCTGCCATCCAGGATTTCAGGTCTAAAATGCAGTTAAAAAGAGCATCCATTGGCCTGGTGTCATCAGGAGACATGGAGATGTACAGCTGTGTATCATCTGCATAACTGTGGAAGTCAATTCCATGTCTCCTGATGACACCGCCAAGAGGGAGCATGTACAGGTTAAAAAGGACTGGACCTAAAATGGAACCCTGGGGCACACCACATGTGATTTTATGGACCTGAGAGGAGCAGGTATCCAAACTTACCATGAAGGATCTGTCTGTTAAATAAGAAGTGAACCATTTGTGGACAGCACCAGAGAGGCCGAGGTGTTTCAGGCGGGATAAAAGAATGGTGTGGTCTACTGTATCAAAGGCAGCGCTTAGATCCAGTAGAACCAACACGGTCACCTTTTTAGAATCATAATTTAGTCTAAAATCATTTAAAATCTTTAAAAGAGCAGTCTCTGTGCTGTAGTTCACCCTAAATCCTGATTGAAATTTCTCTAAAATTTGCTGCTGATCTAAAAAGGCATTGAGCTGGGTAAAAACAAGTTTTTCTAAAATTTTGCTTAAAAATGGTAAGTTGGATACCGGTCTGTAGTTGTTAAAATCATTAAAATCCAAATTGCTCTTCTTCAGAAGGGGCCTCACCACAGCCGCTTTGAAGGCTGCAGGAAAGACCCCAGTCTGAAGAGAGCAATTCATCAGGTTTAAAAGCTCCTCTCTAAAAGATTCATAAAATGACTTAAAAAATGGAGTGGGGACTGGATCTAAAAGACATGTGGTGGGCCTCACTGAGGAGAAAACTTTATCAAGCATCTCAGCATCAACCAGGACAAAACTGTCCAGTGTTTCCTCTGGTGAAGACAAACAATCAGATGTGTTAAAAACAGTAGTGCGGTTGGATAAAATGTTACATCTGATTGTATTTATCTTCCCCATGAAATGGACTGCAAAATCCTCACAGAGGGAGTCTGTGGGGGTTAAAAGAGACATGCTAAAATCAGGGTTTAAAATGGTGTCGATGGTTGAAAAGAGGATTTTTGGATTATTTTTGTTCTGGCTGATTAGTTTTGCAAAGTAATTGTTCCTGTTTTTCCTGATTGTGTTGTTGTAAATTTTCTGTTGGTTTTTATATATTTCGTGATTGATTGTCGTTTTATTTTTCCTCCACCTTCGCTCTGCCACTCTGCACTCTCTTTTCATACTCCTTGCTTCCTCATTTTTCCAAGGGGCTATAGATTTTTGTTGAATGGTTACAATTTTTAATGGAGCAACCTGATCCAGTGTAGTTCTTAGTCTACTGTTAAAATCATTTGCTATAAAATCACAGGGGGCAGGTAAAACCAACTGAGGAGTGTTATTTAGAATGTCAATAAAATTTGCAGCCACTTCAGGGGTTAGACGTCGCTTCTTCACAGTTCTCACAGAGGTCTCCTGTTTAACAAAACCAGTGATTTTAAAAAACACACAATAGTGGTCAGAGATAGCCAGGTCAACAACAGAGGACGCACCCAGGCCATAAGTAATGACCAGGTCGAGGGTGTGCCCTCTGTTGTGCGTCGGCTGTGTGACATGTTGAGTAAAATCCATGTAATTTAAAATACTTACAAACTCGCAGGTAAAATGGTCTGATGGGTTGTCAAAGTGGATGTTAAAATCACCGGTTAAAACAATCCTATTATAGGAATTGTATAAAAAAGATAAAAACTCTGAAAATTCATTGATAAAACGGCTGCACTTTTTTGGTGGCCGATAGATGGTTACTGCTAAAATTTCGGGGCTGCTAAAAACAAGGGCATGATACTCAAAACTTGAGTATTGGTTAAAATTAATGGTTTTGGTGGCCAGGGTGTTTTTCCATATTGAGGCTGTGCCACCACCTCTTCTTCCTTCTCTTGTTTTAAAAGCAAAGCTAAAATCGGGAGGGGAGGCCTCTGTGAGAACAGCCGGAGCATCCGGACCCAGCCAGGTCTCAGTTAAAAACATAGCATCCAGTTTGTGTTGTAAAATCAAATCATTAATGATAAAAGTTCTATTTAAAAGAGAGCGTACATTATTGTACATTATAATTGAGCGTATTATTGTTCTAAGACAGGTGTAAGACAAGTTCTTATGATGGCAATATTTTGCTCTCTGCTTACAAAATATGATTAGAGTCAAACAATCTTAAGTCCTTATTTATGTCTGATAAATGTATTTATTTTTCAGGCAGAGCGTCAGTCGTTGCGTTTGCATTTGGAGCGAGTTGAGACTGAACTGAAATCCACTCTCGAACAGAACTCTGATCTCACAGGAAAACTACACAAAGCAGAAAGAGAAGTCAACTCTCTCAACTGCCAGGTAAACAACTGCATGTTAAACACAAAAAGGAAAGGTACATAAACCCAGTCACGATTTATTCTTCACAAACATCGCCCTGTTTAAATGTCACAGATTGACAGCATGAAGCATTCTCACAAACTGGAGCTGGCCACAGTGAAACTTGAGTGTGCTCGGTCCAAGGCAGAAGTGGAGCGGGACAAGGAGGCGCTCCAGGCCCAGATCGATGGTATACTAAAAGAAGTTGTATTACTGGTTTTCAACTACTTACATGTGTATTCTTTTGTGGTACAGGTCTGCAGTCAGATGTAGAGGTGCTGAGGGTGACTGTGGAGCGACATAAAGAAGTGTTGGTGGAGAAGGAGCGCGAGGCAGTGAGGAGAGTCCAGGCGGCTCGAGAAGAGGACTTCAGGACCACTGCAGTGCTGCACGAAGAGAAGTGAGTTGCAGCAGTCAGTAATGTGTCGTCTTCTTTAAGTGGGCTTTAGGCTTTATCTATAGATTAGGCCTTAGATCAATATTTTTTGGGCCCAGACATTAAATATTTATTTGACTTGTAAATACCCAAGTTTTAATTTGTGGATAATTGATTAAGTTAAGGGTATAAATTAACAGTTTGCAATATTTTTGTAGCTTGCATTTGTTTGGCCTGCTTTGTTGAAATTGTTTATTGTGACGTCGTAGATTGGAATTGGAGAACCGTCTCGTTACGTTGGAGCAGCAGAGGGCGCTGTATGATTCTGCAGCTCAGGCCCAAAAAGAGGAATGGGAGGAGCGGATAAAGAGCAGCCAGCATAGTGAGGAGGCGGTCAGGAGAGAGCTGCAAAATCTCAGGTGCTTACAAAGAAACTGACTGCATACATTTAACTGAGAACTTTCTCATTTACAAGGACAAATGACAAAACCAGCATCATTGTCTGGAATAACCCTGTCCTGAAACTGAAAAATACTTGTTGTTCTGAATCTCATGAAAGCCCATAAATGTATTATTACATTTCAAATACAAGACAGTATAGGAAAAGTCTTAATAAGAAATGTTGTTTTTGTCAGGTCAAAGCTTCACCAGCAGAGCCTACAGCTGGATGAACTGGAAAGGCAGAAAGCAGAGGTTTCGGAGCTGAAGAGAGTATGTGCATAAAGTTGACACCATTTATTTGATTTATTGTTTTAACTTTGACATTCTGGACATCTTCACTTTGCAGCAAAACCAAGAGCTCAGTATGAAACTGGGGACACTGTCTCACACAGAGAGTGAGCTGACCGAGGCCAACCAGAGGCTCCGAGAAGCTCTGGACAAAACCCGAGAAGAGTTGAGGGGATCACAAGCCCAGGCCGAGAGGAGCCAGCACCAGGCTGACAGGTGCACTAGGATCTGCTTAAGTCACATTCTTTAATATCGCACTGAAAATAATAACGTAAGAATATCCTACTGAACATGGCCCTATTCAGGCAAATATATTCAAATCAACAGACTTAAAATCTAGTAATGATAATAATATTATTTATATTGTTTTTGATGGTTCAGTTTGAGATTCAGAATCAGTTTGCTGTTTGCGGTAAAGATGGTCCACACCAGAGCCCCTGCCATGAAATCCTGTGATTATTAGCCATTAAAACATTCCAAAATGTGCTGATCAATATTAAAATTAAATTAAAAAACTAATTGGAACGCTTGTGCAAGAGCACCCAGTGCACCAGAAGTAATCATGAAAAACACAGTGCAAATGTAAAAACACATTACACAGGTTGAAAAGGTCCACATGTTGATGCAGATCACTGGAGGACCGTCGCCTGGAGTGGCTTCAGGAGAAACACATCCTTCAGGAGCGAGAGTCAGAACTGCAGCAGAAATACAGTCAGCTCAAAGAGAGGCTGCAGAGGGCGGCCAACGCACAGAAGAAGGTGACCAGAACGGATATACTTGTATCATTGTATATTGGTTAAATAGGAGTGATTAAAAGTCAAAATAAATAATCTTTGTTATATTCAAGCTTTTAAAAAGATTACAGTGACATGGATTGCTCATCATACTGTATTTGACTATAAACATTCTTGAGTATAAGTGAAATGTTTGTTTCAGAGGAAAACACTGACTGAGAACAGGGAGCGTAAACTTCATGACAGAATCCAGCTGCTTGAGGCCAAAGTCGAGGAGGTAGAACTGGAGGCCGAGGCTGCTAAAAAGTGAGTGTCGGATTATTATTACTTTTATTCCAAAAGTTGATTTATTGAAGTAGAATAGGACTTTCTATTTGAGTGTGTTAATAGTAAAGTGTCAATTAAAGTATCTGGACTTCAAAAGGTTATAACTTAAAAACTAAAATTACTATCATAGATTGGAAAAAAAGATTTCAACACAGACACATTGAAGAGGTAGTGTGGATAAAATCAAAAGGAAAGATTGACAAATATATTTTTGGCGACATTTTAAACGACCAAATCATTCTCTGATTGGACCATTCTACTGTGACGGCAGTTACATAGAAAATAAAATGTCCTCAGTCTGAAAAAGCGGCAGATGAAATCCCACAATATTTACAGGGTTAACACAACAGAAGTTAATCACTTGATATAAAAAGGAATCGTTAAAAAATAGATATTAATTAATTAATTAAATGACCCTTGAAAAATGTATAACGGACGTGATGAGGACGGTCCTCTTTTCTCTAAAAATTAAACTTGAGAGAAAAAAAAATCTGATCTGGTTTCACAGTTAATTTGTTTACGATATGAAAGTATCACTTTGTTTCTACTCTGTGTAAAAAAATAGAATCTCTGAATCAAATGTGGACATCTGAAAATACGTAACAAACTTCCACAAAGCTCATTCCGTCAAATCATCACGTCCGTTACATAAAATAAACAGGGCCGCTTTAGGAAACTTGTCTAATGTAAAAAACAGTTATGTTCTAGCAACTTCTAATGGACAGAGGAGGTGTTTGGAGACATGAAAAACATGAAATATCTTTGGATTATTCAAATAAAACGTTTGGCCTTTTGTCACACTTTTGTGCCCTTTAGTGTGAACAAGCCCATTTACATGATTTACATGTGTTTTTCAATGATGTGTGAGATGTAATCTGGTCTGTTGGTGCTCAGACAAGCGACCCACTCTGAGGAGCGTGTGCGGCTGAGTAGACAGCTCAAAGAGCTGCAGCGGCGGCACAATGAGTTCCGGCAGCTCCTACTGGGGGGTCAGGGCTCCTTAAGCATTGGCCCCCCGTTCATGAGCTCGTCCCCCCGTCACATGTTCACTGGACCCAAGTCAGAAGGAGCTGCCCCCAACATCACAGTGAGTACTGCACAACCTGAAAGGAAAAGTCCATCACCTCTGATGGTTCAACTGCCAAACCAAACTAGTTTCTGAACATTTAAGATGACTCATTGTTTGTTGTATGGAGTTTTTCTTGTTATAGAGGAAATACAGTGTTGAGAACCTTTGACAAATAACAAACACAATCACAAACACAATCACTAACAATGAGTGCATTTCATACATAATCTCAAATATGGCCAAAAATCTTAGTTTATACCTTTCCAATGCGACTGAACAATTTAGGATTTTGAAAATAATCCTTTTCATGTGAATACAACTGTCCACATTGGTATTGTTTTCTAAAAGTTTCCTCTTGTCTCAACAGGACTCCCAACTCACAGACCTCTCTGTGCTTCGTCAGAGACTTTTGGATTTGGAAAACGCACAAGTTGAACAAATGGAAGAATTGGCAGATGTGGGGAACAGGCCCTCTACTCAGGGCGACTCCTAGATAATGATTTTGATACAAACGTTTCACTACATCCTCAGGGATTTAATGTAAATTTTTGCACTATATTTATAAAACTTTGACATAATAAAATGTGGTTGTGATGATGTTTAGCAGTTCTAGTCCCAGGAGCAGCTTTTAAGTTCATCAAATAACTTATTAATATCATGTAGTTGTTCCTTCAGCTCTGGGGAGGCGCCATTGTCCTCTAGTTTTTCTTGGATCTATGGAGGAGAAACAATCTATTATTAAAACTTACAATCAACACTGCATCTTCAACTAAGTTACTAAATTATCTGAGAAGGGTAGTTTCCAACACCCATATAAAAAAATTAACAACCAAGTTGAGCTATTACATGTTAAAGCTCAAATTCATTTCAGTTTAAGCTTGTGGAAAAAACAGTTTACTGTATACACCCTTATCCAAATATGCTGGTACAGTTCTAATCATGGACTTAGCCTTTACATGATATTTGAAGGCCAATCGCTACAGAATGACTACACAAAACCCAGAGGACGGATAATTACATTCTTGATTTCGGTTTAAAATTTTGGCTGAATATTAGACCCACAAACAGCAAAGGCCTTTAGATGTACAGAGAAGTTTAAGCAGGTGTAACTTTTTTAACCCTGGTAATAATAAAATAAACGTGTTATCTTTTGTATAGTATGTGTTCTTGTTTGAAAGCACCTGAAGATCACAAACTGAGAACTGAGTGCAGACGGTCAGTCTTTCACTTTAGTCTGAAAAAGCAAATCTAAAGATGTGACAGAGACCACAAACACACCCACGGTAAAATTGTTGGATGGATTTGATTACATGGTTAACTTTTTGTGTTGTTTAAAAGTTAGTTACCCCAGATGTAAAGGGAAAACGACTGTGCGGTAAAGTCTAACTAAAGTTTCTGTGAGATACACTGAGCAGGTTTTGTGACGGTACATTCTGTAGTTGGTGACAAATAAACTTATACTGACCTTTGGAAGATATTTCTGGATGTATTTGTAGAGCTCCTTCAGTGCTGCCGTTTCGTTAAACTCGTTCTCATGTTTCTAAAATACCAAAAATGATTTTATTGTTTAGCCTCATTGTGTTGTAGTTGTAAACGAGAAAATGCTCACCTTTGATTCTTTCTGTAGAAATGTCCTGAACTCTGAGTCTGGGATTGAAGGCTGGTCCTGGATCTGTTTGTAGTAGCTCTTCACTTCCTGTTTGTATTTGGGGATTTCTTTGGCGTACAGGAGCTTATTGATAGGCGTGTACTAAAGAGAAAAAGTCGTTACTGTATATGGCATTTAATCTAATCAAATTTAAAGAGCACTATGTGACATTGTATTAATCTGAATTAGAAGAATTATAAGTGCAATATGCCCTCAGAAAGGTCTATTTTGAATCCTATTTTTATCAAGGATTTGTATAGTAATTATTAAATAGTTGTAAAATGAGAAGTAGTTTTACTGGTTTAACTGACTTTCCCGAGCTGCATGTCGCTGAGTGAGAAGGAGTCTATGAAGGCCTGAGCGATGACCGAGAGGCAGCCGTCCAGAGGAGGTCTCTTCTCCAGGTCGAAGACGAACTGAGGATTCTTCAGGATGTTCACCCAGAAGCGCAGAGGCAGGCTGGGCACAGAAACAAACACTATACTCCGCTTTTTATGCAACATTCCCACAACAGTATAATGCTCAAGTGTTTAAAGGTAACTCTTAAAATGTCTTTAGTCATGTCTGCCTGCTTTTCATGCACTTTACTTTATTTTTTGCTACAGGTATCTATATTTTTTCCTAAGACTGCTGATGTCATTATTCTGAATAATTTTAACCTCTGCAGGAAAATAAAGTTGTAATCCAAGAATAAGATAAAAGGCAGGAAATATTACATGTTTGTCCAAGATTTTGGATTTTTGGTTTTCATAGTTGGAGTCAGAAAATGCTGACATAACATTTTGCAATAGGTAACACAACTGGTTTTAATTTGCGTGTCACAATTGTTGTGTCTATTGCACCTGTTAGTCTTCCAGATGTGCAGAACATCTGGGTCGGTGATCTTCATGTCCTCGGCCTGAGCGTCCAGAAAGTCAAAGAAGTGTTTCACGGCCAGTGGAGCTCTGTTGTTCTGCAGTCCCCAGATGCACCTGAATAGCTTCTCCACGAACGAATGCACCGCCACCTACAGGCGAAAAGGTATATTACTTCAGACTGGCCCCAATAAACACATTTTCAAAGTGGAGCCACTTGGGATATGCATGATTTTGGGATTTCATACTCCCGTGGCCTAGGGAAATGAGCAAATTAGCATAAATTAATTAATACAAAAAATACAAAAAACAATTATTGATTCTAATGGTTGCCAAAAACACAAACGGGTTGTGCAGTTCCTCTTACTTTTGTGGACAGCAGTTTTGTAAGGTGAACTTCTTTCAACTTCAGCTTCTTCTTCTCTGGGTTTTTCAAATCTTCCACTATATCAGGATCAATCTGTCATTCAACCATAGACGGGAGTCACACAAACATTTTAGTTCATCAGTGATTCTTAACCCTTTAGGTGCCAGAGGTTTTTTACAAAGAAGCTCAAATTTGACATTTTCAATTCTGAATATCTTAAAGCCTCTATCTCTTATTACAGAAATTATAAGGATGGCACAAAGTTTAATTAGGAATGAAATGTACCCAAATACTTTTCATATTATAACTTCATATGGTGGTGGCCATTGTGGATTTTCATGAGATATATATATATATATATATATATATTTTACTGACAGAAACAAATCACTAGGACATGAAACACAAACAAAACTCACACTACCACACTCAAGGGTTTGGGAAATAGTAAATAGTTCAAATCATTTTGTGACAGGAGTTTGAATGAATTTAGACACCCTGCTTGGTTCTAAACAGTACTGTATGTTGTCGACTTAAGTCAACCCTGGCGCCTAGAGGGTTAATACATCATAAGATTAACTAATTACATCTTACCAAGTGAAAGTATTTTCCTGAGAAGTCCTGGTCATCTATGGAGGACAATAATTCACAATAAAATGTACTAGAAAAGATTGATCATAAAAAAGTTATAGTATTGGTTATTATAAATATTAGCATATATTAGCATAATCATTTTTTTCCTGTTATGCGCCTGTTATAACAATTATTCTCATCCCTTCTGTTTTGTAACTTGTAACTTGACACTGAGAAGTCCCTGTGTGACAAATAAGGAATCGAATAAATCAGTAAATGACCTCCCTCCTTTTTAACCAAGGAGTGATAAAAACTGAACACATCTATTAACCACAAAAGTTCCCCGTTTAAACTTGGTCAACCTTTGACACTTCCTTGAGTTTTGAGAGCATTGTTTTTTCTTGAAAGCACTTTGATGGTGGCTCCATCTGGGATCTGTAAGAGAGGACCAATAAGCAACATAAAAAACCACACATTTTAGCTTACATGAAGAGTCAAAATGAATGAACTGCACACAAAATAACATGAATGTTATTATTATAATATCTTAAAGGGAAAGTCTGCTTCTAAGAACTGATTACTTATATATTCCAGTTTAGGTTAACAACTTGAGATGAAATAGGCTGGTAATGGTTCAAACCGGCAACCCAAATGAGAACACCTCATCTGCACTCTGATTGGATAATCTTCTTGAAAACTCTAGGTTCATTGCATTTTTAAAGATTTGTTCAAGAAAACGTCAATAATGACTTCTACATGTTGACCTTGGGACCACTTTAACACTAGAGGTGTTAGAGAGTTTGTGGAGGCACTAATGACTTTTCTGCCCCCTACTGGTCACAAGTCTTTCCTCACGGGTCACTTTGGACCACACTTTTGACAAATGAACATAACCAGAGTGTCTTCCTGTTCGCAAGGCCAGACATATGCTGTGGTCTATGCATTAGTGTAGAATAAACTGGTCGTGTTATAGATTTATCACTGCCCTTTCCACTACTTCATCTCAGATCTCAGGTGAGCTTTTGATACTCTGATAAATATTATGGTCTGGTGGAACAGTGTGAGCCCTGAGGAAAGTCCCATGATGCACTGCTGTGATTGTATTAGACGTCCATTAAGACCTCTCCCCTCCCTCCGACAGCAGCACTCAGCATGAGTCTCATCTATTAAAACTTTATCAGAGAGAAGTATCTGACACTCAGCGTAATTACTCAACAACAGGATGTGACCAGAGCTGCTGTTTCCTTCCTCAGTAGTTTTCACTTCACGATGGGATAGGAAGAGCCACACGTAGGTTGACAATAGCGTAAACAATCTAAAGATGTCTGACCTTGTAGTGCTTCATGGTGTTGAGCATGGTCACGTCTCCCAGTCTCTCTGAGCTCAGATCCACCTCCTCCAGACCAAGAGATGCGCTTCCTCTCACGTATTCTGACCAAATAATCACATAAATCTTTATACAGTGTGGCTTTATATATTATCTTCCCCCTAGAATATGGCAGTGGGGGCGGGTCCTGGCTCAAAAACTTCCATGAGCATGTGCACTAACATGCTTGCAATACCACTCCAGGCCAGTGGGGGTGGACCCAGAAAGAGAATTATCCAATGCTTTTGTATAGCATCTTCTTTCCTCTCAAAAAAAGCTTTACAGGATGATCCAAAAGTTGGCTCTTGGCCCAAAGGTAAGTTCCAGATGTGTGTCAATGCTGAGGGGAATATATTTTTTGGACCACTCTAGGTCAGCCTCTGTGGTTTTTTCACATTTTCCTGCGGGAGGGGCGGAAAAAGCCCCATAGAAGGCAAAAGTGATGGCACATTAGTTTCAACCATAGACTGTAAATATTAATGGACAGAGTCACGCTTATCTCCGGCGTTCAAACAAATGGGCCAAAGAATGTGCTCTACTGGAGCTATCCAAAATGGCCGCGAGTGGTCCCGCCCACAAGAAAATTGTGAAAAAAACGCATCTGCGCATGCATCAGCCGGCGTAACTCCATTCATTTGAACGAGAGACTTCAAAAATTCACAGCGAGTAAACTAGAGCGGTCCAAAAAAATCACCCCCCTCAGCATTGACACACATGTGGAACGGAGCTTTGGGCCAAGAGCCAACTTTTGGACCATCCTGTAAAGACGTTTTTGAGAGGTAAGAAGATGCTATATATTAGCATTGGCTAATTCTTACTCCGGGTCCACCCCCATCGGCCCTGGGTGGTATTGCAAGCATGTCAGCGCACGTCATTTTGGCCACTTTTGAGCCGGGACCCGCCCCCACTGGGCACAACGGCGGAGATAGGCGTGACTATGTCTGTTAATATTTACAGTCCAAGTACAATCCAAAGAATGGCCCACAGCCCACAGTGTGAGTAAGTTTAATTTCAAAGATTGTTACCCTTGTAGGCTACAATGCTAGATGACACATTTAAAAAATCATAATAATGTCTAATACAAGCTATACTCCTGTCCTTTTTTCCATTCCATTTTCTTCCAATGTATCCGTTTCCAGGTCATCGCGGCAGCATTCTAAGCTTAAATTTTCGGACTTCCCTATCCACACACTTACATACTGTAGTTCCTCCAATGTGTCCTGGGTCTATCCCGGGGGTGTCCACCCAATCTCCACGCTCCCTCACCAGGATTGTTAATAAACACGATTATAGTTCTTGTTCATGTACAATGCCATAATTGTGAATGATTTTTTATCACATGACCCTTAGGCGGCAGAGACAACAGGACATCCCCTGGCTCAGAGAATCGACTTTAAAGCAGCTCTCCCCATGGCCTCACACCACGGAGCATACAACTGAAGGATTTTATCTCTATTTTTAATGCACTGTAGTTATTTATTTTTTCAATCCCTTGTGTGATTGTAATTTCTTAATGTTTTTAATTACCTGTATGTTTTTGAACTGTGTTTTAAAAGGTGACTCTGGTGTTTGTTTTATCTGATTTGTGGCTTGTGTGATGTGGACTGTGATGCGCTTTGTGTTGCCTTGCTGTGTATGAAAGGCGCTCTACAAATAAAGGTAGATTGATTGATGATTACCGACGCATAGCTCTTGGCTGGGGGTGCTGTATGGGAAGCCAAACTTGTTCCTGAAAGTGGAGAGGATCTTGCCTTTGACCTGGTCCACAGTGTCACAGGTGAGAGCAGACACATCCAGAGGCTCAGACGTCTCACCGTCACTGCCCACTGCAAACAGCACCTTCAGCCTCTGCACAACCACAACCACACGGAAGACGGGGGTTAAAGCCGGGGTACCTACACTCTATCAAATCTAACTAGTTCACTCTCAAATCAGTTACATACAGTATCTTTTGATGGTTGATGTGATTTATTAATTTCAAATAGGTTCATACAGTCATGTCTTTGGATCAGAAAAGGGTGAAAAAACTCACTCGATCAATCAGCTCTCAGTCCAAAGTGTCAAATAGTGACTCATAGGGCTCTTAAGCAAGGGCCTCAAACCTTTTTCAATCAGAGAACTACTTTTATATAACAGAAGAGGCAGAGAGGTACACTCCTTTTTGTGGTCATAATAAAACTATGTAATAATTATGACAAAAGATGGAAAACAGATGTAAAAACCATATTACTGTATAACCCTATATTTATACGTACAATAGATGTAATGACCCAAAAGTGGAGCTACCTGAAAGCGGCTGGCGAGCTACCGGTAGCTCCCGAGCAACAGGTTGGAGATCCCTGCTTTTAAGTATGCAAAAAATGTTGGTTAAAAAAAATTCTAAAATGATAAACAGCATGTTGTTGTCTGATTTGTTCACAAGATGTTACCTCTACATAACACTTGATGAATAGGTCATACATTTGCAGACCTAGCTCTCATTTTATAATTTTGAACATTACACTGATTTAAACACAATCTACATGGTCATTTCCCAGTCTATCCTGCGTGTGTGTCAAACAAAAGACCTTCTTTTGAGGCCCCTGAAGGGATTTTCAATGATGCATGTTATACTTCATTTTAAAGCACATGTTCTCAAGAAAACAAATAGTTTCATCAGAACATAACAGAAAAAGTGTATTTGTTATTTTGTTCAGTTTTGAGTCCATCTAAACCAGGCATGCCCTCTGTGCCATTTTCTCTGTCGCCATTGAGATACTTCCAGCCAACTTCAGCTCCACCAATACAGTCACGCTTTACCTTGTTGTAAATCTCAAACAATCGTTGACTTTATTTTCCCAAAATTCCAAATAAAATGCAACTGTGGTGTGGATCAATAAGGACGTATAATAACCAATTTTAAATTCCAGAATCCAGTTAATCCAGCTCAAATCCAGTTTTTTTAAATCCAGGATTTTGGTCCCATGTCAAGTCTGATGAACTAAAGTGGCCCTCTTGCTAAAGAAGTTTGGACACCCCTGATCTAAACCAACAAAAACTGAATTAACTTTGTACAGAAAGATACCACTGTCAAAACAAACGTAGAAAATCCCTTTTATTCCTCTGGCACCCAGCCTGCCGCCTTTTTAAATCTGGACCCTGATAAATATTAGTTCTACAACCGTGACGTATACATTTCTGCTATCAGCAAAACGATGCATTCTCTCCCAGCTCGGCACGAGCTGTTGCGGGCGTGTGCAGAGGGCTCCATTAGCTGTTGTGTCATTATGATGCATCACTGGTGTATTATGGGTGTGTAATGTGACTGTGCGGTGATTCTCCCACACTTTTGGGCTTTTCCAACAGCTTCTCTCCAGATCATCTGTCTCTCTCTGAGCTCATGTGGCCAAAGTCATTGCTCACTAATGGACAGCGATGGGACAGAGCAGCCAGAGATTAGATAAGAGGCAACAGAACAGAGAGGAAGGAGTGGAGTGATTTACTTATGTTTTTGTAAACCTATACCTTTTTTGTAATCCAATACCTACATTATTTTAACAGTACATAGTGTTGACAATCTGTATCATGTCAAATGAGCTGGAGAAAGTGTGTGTGTATAGGGAAGTCTACGCATCTCTGCTTGGATGGCTGCCAATTGCGACACGGCAACGGATAAAGCAGAAGAAAATCAATGGATGGGTTCTATAATTTAAAGTAATCATTTCCAAAGATGGAAACTGTAATGTGGACATGTTCTTGTAATTTATACTTTATTAAGGACTCACATGCAAGCACAGGATCCATAGCTAAGAATAATGAAAGAAAAGTTAAAAAAATAAAAATAAAACACACATAGTAATCACATATTCACATATTTAGACCAAGTCACACATACAGAGAAGCACGCCAGTGACTCCAGAGCAAAGAAGTGTAAGTCAGGGGTGTCAAACTTATTTTGTTGAGGGCCGAATACAAAAAGGAGTTGTATTTATTATTATTTTTTGGACGGTATCTAAATAAATGACTTGTTCACGATAGTTGGATTGGATATTATTTTCTGATTAGAATAAGTTCAGTTCCTGTGGAAATATTGAAGATATATCGGAAGAGTTTCTACTTCCGGGTGGATCATCAAAACTATTGGTCCTCCCAACTGTCAATCATTCAAGACCAGAGAGATTTGTTCAAAAAGTGGAGAGGGCGGTTCTTTCCTAAGAAAAGTGGGAAATCCTCCTTCATATCTTTAAGAAGAAATGTAATTGAAGACTACAAAACATAATAAAACTAACTTCTAATTACATTTTGGCTTAACATTTCATATGGAATTACAAGTTATGGTTGTTTTCTTAGTAATGGATAGCATTCCATTGTCGCCTATTACCATTAGAGCTACTATTTAATATAATAATTTAAAATCCTCTCAAACTGGAAATGGTCTCGCGGGCCATATCTGGCACCCGGGCCTTGACTTTGACACCTGTTGTAAGAAATCTCCAAACATACAATTCTTCCTTTTCATTTTTTGTATCAATCCACCAACTTTAGCAAGTTCATCTTTAGTATTGTATAATCGTTGGCTACACGTACGGAAGGGTAGTTTTGCCTGAAATGTCACATCTTGTGGTACCAAATAAAATAATCCTTTGGGAACTACAAGCGGTGCAGAGTCATCTCAAATTTTTCATCTTACTATTTTTGACTTTTTGCAACCTCACTCTTGTTACACATATTGAAGGCAAATCATCAAAAATGCTTACCATAAATAAGAAAATAAAAACGTCAGTTAAAAATTGTGATCATTGTTTAGGCGACATCATCCACCTCTGCTGCTGTGAAGGGCTGTTGCTTATTATTACTATTGTTAGCTTTTTAGAATAATCAGTTTTATTTTTAATTTTTTCTGCTACCGGACACCTGAATTTCTCCTACGGGGGATCAATAAAGTATCTATTTATCCATCTATCTACGTATATCTATCTATTTATCTATCTCTCTACATCTGCCCCTTAACCAATACGAATGTGTTTTCTGTTTTATTGTTTGAAGTGTTTGATTCTCTGATCTGTGTTGGAAAATTCAACGGCCCTGTAAAGTCCTCTGAGATAACTATTGTAGCTACACAAAAATAAATCGATGAAATTGAATCATTGAACATAGTGACCAACTGAAGTAGTGCAAATCTGTGACACTGTAAAAAATGTACATCCTAGGAATCTATGTACAAAATATTAGGATGGCAGTAACAGAGGAAAATGAAACACAGTAAGAGAATTACTAAAAACATGTAAGAATGTACTAACACATATCACAAAATCCCGAACCTTTTGTAATATCATACCTCTGCTCTGGTTGTAACTTGTTTCCTAGTTCGTGACTTCCTGTTTCTTACAAAGGCAATATCAATCATTCTCATTCTGTTCATGCATTAAAAGTGTAAGGCTTATTCAGTCAAACCACACAACCACCTCCACAAACACATCCTAGATCTATTTGGTGACAATATTGCCGACAGTTTGAGTCACTCTGTAACCACTATAATGTGGTCCAGCTCATGCTTTATGTGGGCCCCTGCCGCAAATACTAAATATTCTATTGTTCTATTAGTGTGTTTTTATATTTGTATTTTCCTTAGTTAGCCATGTTTATTTCGAGCAAATAAGTGTACAATAAACAAAAGTAGGATATCAAAAAATAAAAATAAAAAATAACCTTGAGTTACATTAACATAATTCGAGATTATAAATATTATAATACACAAAAGAAACACTTCCTTGGAGAATGAATCTTCATTTAAAAAAAAAAAAAAGACATATATACAATAAATTCCATTGAGATATATGAATACAGACTCATTCTATCAGGTTGACGTTATTTCAAAACAGCAGACTTTAATTTTAGTCATAGGGATTTTATCATTTTGAAGTTTAATTGTTCAAATATTAGGGAACTTTTCTTATGAGTCATTTAATTTTCTCACGATATAAGACATATGAGATTTCAGCTGCTAACCAAACTTCTCCTTTTTACAAAGCGCTGATTTTGTAAAGATGTTTGTAACATAAAAATGAATCCGTTAAAACTGTATTGTTAATACAACCGGTAAAAGCTGTCGATAAACGTAACTTTGACTGTGGTTTGTGTTGTGAAGTAAAGTTACACCATCATAATGTCAGGTCATGATCAGGAAGGTCTCCAGCTCAAACTAGAAACTAATCGTTGTGGTTTTAGCGCTCACCGGCATCCGCTAAACTTCTGAGAATTTGAGATCTTAAGACCAGTGAATTATGAGCGGAGGAAAAATGCAAAGGAGATTCAAGAATTTTTGTTTAAGGCTTTAAAACAAAAGATTAACCAGTTTTCGCTATTGACATAATAGTTTTCAGAGGTGTTGCTCTAACTTGAATACAACAAGTGTATTGGACCATTTGCACACATATCTATTCTTTGAAGCTGTAGTAGCCAATATGAAATCACAAAATGCAATCCATGTAACTCCAGAGTTCATTACTCTCAAAACAATTTGCTTCTATCGCTAGTTATGATTTTTTTTGCCAGTCACATTTTTAGATCAGCTTTGTCAGACAGAAAAGTAACAAAGAGAGGACCAGCCCTCACTCAGCCTCACTCTTCTGTTGAGACAAATATAAATGATTATGACACAAAAGTTAGGTACTTTAGGCACTTTAAGTCAAAACTTTAGAGTTGTTTCTTTTTGCAGTCTGATAACAAGCTGAAAACCACATTCACCACCATAATGTGTCCAAAGGTTTGTAGTAAATTTGGTGAAAAAGTAATGAGTTTAATACCAACGGATTTTGTTCTCTGAGTGAAGTTGTCGGCCACACTAGAAGGCGTGGGATATGAATAAAATGTTGTGGCCATTACCAGCGGTTGGAAGTCCTGGGCCTGCCACAGGAGCCAGTCCTCACTCAGAGTGTACAGGGCCTTCTCAGTCACACAGTCCACAGGGCCTTTGGAGATCTGCTGGGAGAGGGCACTGACCAAGAGGAACAGCTGCTGGCCCACGCCCTCCTGCACACACACACACACACGCACACAGGTGAGTACTGACTTGAGACCCTCAAATACTACAGAGAGAAGGATGCACTTTAACAGGACCAATTCTGTGACTTTAAAGATGTAAAACCACCAAACAGTCACTAAATAGTTATATTGTAAGAAGAAAAAAAAGAATTATGGGGTTGATCACTGATGTATTTCTCCTACTGAGCTGGCAACCCACATGAGGCTCTTTACGCACACTGAGCTTAAAAACTGAACTGGACATAATGTTAGTGTAGCTTTTGGGACTGTATATAGTTTGTCTTACTGGGTTAAAAAAGTAATTACAATTATAGTCCAAATTAATAATAATACATCGGTTGTATGTAGCGCTATTTTGGACACTCAAAGAAGCTTTACATGTCATTATTCATTCACTCCATACACGGTGGTGATAAACTACTACTGTAGCCACAGCTGCCCTGGGGCACACTGACAGAAGCGAGGCAACCAGTATGTGCCATCGGCCCCTCCAACCACCACCAACCACGCCAGATTCACGGGGCAGCAAGGTGGCTGAGTGGATAGCACTCTCGCCTCTCAGCAAGAAGGTCCTGGGTTCAAATCCCGTCGGAACGGGGTCTTTCTGAGTGGAGTTTGCATGTTCTCCCGTGCCTGTGTAGGTTTCCTCCGGGTACTCCGGTTTTCATTCATGCTTAATTAATGAATTGAATGAAACATTCTAGGTTGTGATGTGATACTGACCCTGAGGAATCCGTAGAGACAAATGGACATCCAGTTTGTGAGCAGTTTCTCCACAATGGACTCTGTTCGTCTCAGCAGGAGCTTGGGCTGAGCCTGAGTGCTCTGCAGCATCAGGTCGTGCAGTAACAGCTCCATGACCTGGGTCAGGTAACTCAGGTCACTGTGGAGAGCCACGGTCAGCAGCGAGGCCACCACGCACCTGTGAGAGCAAGAGGACATCCATCACTCCAATCTAATCCCACTGTGAGAAAGAACATTTATCTGTGCTTCATTAGAAAAAGTATAGAGCGTTTTGTAAAGTAAAATTGTTTTTCAGTATACAAAGTAATATTCATTCATTCATTCATTTTCAACCCCTTTATTAGTCCATTTCTGGGTCGGGGGGGTTGGTGGCAATGAGAGCTGCCACCCAATGCTCAAAGCACCAGTCCCTCGCTGATCCTCTGCAGGTGGTGGGTCCACAGGAAGAAGGTTGCTACATCAGTGGTGCCACAGCCTTGGTGCTTCAGCACGAGATTCAGGCAATGTGGGGTTAAGTGTCTTGCCCAAGGACACAACAACAGCAGACATCAGTGGGAGCAGTTGGAGTAGGTCCCGTGATAGGCTCAAACCCACAACCTTCTGGCCCAAAGGCCAATGCTACTGACGCTCAGTAACTCACTTGGTAGAGCTCAATGTAATAAATATAAATAAAAATGTGACTATAAGATTATATACATTTCATTGAATGTAAAAATAAATGCTAGAAATAGTGTTTGGACTAGTTCACTAATCCAAATACAGTACAATGCCTCATCTTTAAAGGAATAGGCCGCCGTTTTACTACATACTGACATATGTTCTTACCTTAGGCTAGTTGATATGTACCTGTCTGGTCTTTGTCCGTGTGCTCTGTCATGCAAATGGAGCACAAACGCAGCCTCTTCCACAGACTGTATAGTTCCAAATCAGCTCCCGTTAGAAGCTACCAAACTCTTCCACGTGTTTCCTTATTTAAATACAGTTACGTGACGTGTTACACTACAAAGTATAGTAACACAGAAATGTAATATGTCGATTTTCTCAGCGGATAAAAAGGGGTAATAATACGAGGAGCACTACGTCCGCACACTGACTCCTAAAGACTTATCTCCTGCTCATTCCTCGCAATAGAAGCAGCGTGACTTGTAGTACGTACAGGAGCGGGAAAGAAGTCTTTAGGAGTTAGTGCGCGGACGTAGTGCTCTTCTCTGCTACCAAACTCTTCTCTGACGTGGAAGAGTTTGATAGCTTCTAACGGGAGCTGATTTGTTATTATACAGTATGTGGAAGAGGCTGCGTTTGTGCTCTGTTTGCATGACAGAGCGCACGGACAAAGACCAGACAGGTTCTATTTCATCCCTTCAGACCGCCAGAGGGCGGTGCATAGCACTGAATGTTCCCTTCGCGCATGCGCAGTTCGAGTAATAATACCAAATGAGTCACACCTGTGACCCCCTGGGTGACACACCGGAGGTAATAAAGTCCAGCGTCATCCAGCACTCTGTTCCTTTTTTCTTCTCGCGTGCGGTTCGAATCGTTGCTGCTTGAACTTCATCAACGTCTGTCGCTGAGAGCCCTCTTCATCGGAGCTGCGGTTCGCCCTCCGTGGGGCGCGACGGTGACGTTGTCCTTTGGGTATTTATTGGTGTTTTCTGTACTGTATACGTGTGTATTGGTTGGTGTGAAGGCTGCTGTGGCGCCCGCTCCTCCGTCAGTACTTTCTTTTGGTACATGCATTTCGTGGTGTGAAGGCTGCGGTTCGTTGGCCTGCTCCTCCGCCTGTGCATGTTGAGTTAGCTTTTGCTAACTGTGTATTGTGTGGTGTGAGGTTGCGGTTCATTAGCCCGCTCCTCCATCAGTTCTTTTTTGGGTTAGCCTTTTGCTAACTGTGTATTGTGTGGTGTGAGGCTGCGGTTCATTAGCCCGCTCCTCCATCAGTTCTTTTTTGGGTTAGCCTTTTGCTACCTGTGTAGTGTGTGGTGTGAGGCTGCGGTTCCGCTCCTCCATCAGTTCTTAGTTGGGTTAGTTTTTGCTACCCGTGTCCTCTGTGGTGTGAAGGCTGCTGTTCGCGCGCCCGCTCCTCCATCAGTTCTTCTTTGGGTTAGTTTTTGTTACCGGTGTCCTCTGTGGTGTGAAGGCTGCGGTTCGTTGTCCCGCTCCTCCATCAGTTCTTGTTTGGGTTAGCATTGCTGCCTGTGTTTATTCTGTGGCCGGTGTATTGTGTGGTGTGACGGCTGCTGTTCGCGCGCCCTCTCCTCCATCACTACTTTCTTCGAGTGGAATTTTGCTGCGGGTGCATTGTGTGGTGTGAAGGCTGCTGTTCGCGCGTCCGCTCCTCCACCGTGCTATGTTTGGCTTTTCTGTTGTGATACTGCAGTGCATTGATTCGGTTCTGCAGTTTGAATACCGTTTGGGATTAATTACGTATTGAATTGACGACACAGACAGTGAAGAAAATAAGTATATAAATAAATAAAAAAACTTTAATAAAAAAAAAAAAACAAAAAAACAAAAAACAACCTTGTTGTTATGGACGGGTCACATGCGTGTGTGGGCTGCGGGTCAGCACTCGATGTTGATGACGGCCATGACCTGTGTCCGGCGTGCCTCGGCCCCACTCACTTGAGGGAGGCAGTGTCCGATAACCCGTGCATGAACTGCAGCTGCTTGCCCTGGGCTGTTAGGGTGGCGAGGCTGGTTCAGCTGCCTTCGTCTGGCGACGGTGGTAGTTTGCCAGTGGGGCCTGCTGTGGCTCCGCCCCCTCGGCGTTCTAAGCGCCGTGCTGAGGCCTGTGCTTCAGGGGAACGGTCTGATGGCCATGCTCCTTCCAAGCAGGCCAAGCCGGATGCTGTCCTGGTGTCGAGGGTGGAGCAGTTATCTGCAGAGTTGGAGGCGATGAAATCTGCATTCCAGGCACGTTGTGCTGCTGATGCAGTCTCTGGGGCTGGTTTTTGCTCCATGCCATCCCTCCATCCGGAAGAGGATGTGCTTTCTCTGGCGGCGTCTGCTTCGTGCTTCCGGGACGAGGATGACGCGCGGTCCCTTTCGGGGGACGATGCTTATTCTTCCGCACATAGTGTGTCCAGCCGGTCTGGTGACGGCTCAATGCAGGAGGTTCTTCGCAGGGCCTTATCCCGTCTGCAGGTGGAACTTCCCCAGTCGGGACAGGCTGACCCTGGCAGTGCTTTTTTCAGGCGTGGTGGTTCGTCTCCTGCTTTTGTTGTGCCCCCGTCCGCGGAGTATCTGAAGGAGCTACACGCGTGCTGGAGGGACCCCAGCCGTCTCTCTAAGCTTTCGGCTGAGGGTCGGGCTTTGGCCGCGATGCACGATGCCTCTTCGGCTGGCCTGGATTGCATGCCGGCTGTTGAGCCGGCGGTTGCCTCCCTCATTGTTTCCCCGGAGGAGTCCTTGCGGGAGAATGTGAGGTGCCCTCGGAGCCAGTGTCGTGCGACGGATCACTTGCTAACGAAGGCCTACAATTCTGGTGCTCGAGCTGGCCGTATTGGTAACTCCTTAGCGCATCTGCTGCTTGCCCTGTCTGCCTCCCTCCAAGAGGGTAGTGCTGTGGGCACTGATGTTACTGCGTTTAGCGACGCAGCTCTGCATGCATTTGCCTTGATGACCAGGGAACTCGGACGGGTCATGTCGGTCCTTGTACAGGCTCGTCGGCAGGTATGGCTGGCTCAGTCTCCCCTGACTGAGGCCTGTCGTAGGACCCTCCGTGACGTGCCTGTCGAGCCGGGTCAGTTGTTTGGGACGGCGGCCCAGGAGGCATTGGACCGGACTGTCCATGCTGGTCAGACTAGACAGCAACTTTCTAGCCTTAGCAGGGTGGTGCACCCTCCCCGGCAGTTTTTACGCCCGATGGTGGCCCCCGGTGTTCGGCAGCCTCCTCGGGATTGGTCTGGTGCTCAGCGTTGTCCCCAGGTCAGGCCTGCCGGGAATTTTTGTGCCCCACCCGTGCATAGGCACCTGACCCGCCAGCCAAGTGGCGCCGCGGCTGGTCCTGGGCGAGGTCCCCCCAGAGCCCCTAGGGGGCAGGGGGCGCGGAATTGACGCCTCAGGGCCGGGCGTCGGACATTTTTCCCATCAGCAGCTCGAGTGTTGGGCTGCTCGAGCTCGGGATCCGTGGGTGGTTGCCACATTGACCCACGGATACCGTCTGCAATTCCGACGCCGGCCGCACTTGTCGGGCCGGGTCAAGGTTACTTTGATCTCGGACCCGGCAAAAGCCTTTATATTGGATCAGGAGCTCTCCGCCCTCCTGACCAAAGGTGCCATCGAGGCGGTAGATCCGCTGCTGCAACCCAGGGGTTATTACTCCCGTTATTTTCTCGTGCCCAAGAAGACGGGGGGTTTTCGACCAATTTTGGATCTGAGGGGCTTGAATCATTTCCTGAAGGTCATTCCGTTTCGCATGCTGACGACTGCGGAAGTCCTTCAGACTGTTGGGGCCGGGGAATGGTTCACGTCCATAGATTTGAGGGACGCGTATTTTTACGTGCCCATTGCGCAGCCCCACCGGCGGTTCCTCCGGTTCGCCTATCGGGGCGTTCACTGGCAGTTCAGGGTTCTTCCCTTTGGCCTCTCTCTCTCTCCGAGGGTTTTCACTCGATGCGTGAAGGCGGCTCTTGCTCCGCTGCAGGCCAGTGGCATGAAGGTGTTGCCTTATCTGGACGATTGGCTGATCTGCTCCCCGTCCAGGGCACGGTCCTTAGAAGATACGGAGCGCCTTCTGACTCATGTCGCCCGCTTGGGTTTCAGGGTCAATTTCGAAAAGAGCAGCCTGGTGCCTTCGCAGGCCGCTGTTTTTCTTGGCCTGAGTCTGAACACGGTGACTATGACGGCGCGTCCGTCGGTGCGCCGCCTGGTCAACATCCACGGTGTGGTGTCCCGTTTCGGTCTTGGCACCTTGCACAGTTACGTCAGCTTTCTACAGCTGGTGGGGAAGCTGGCCTCGATCTCTCGTGTGGTTCCACTCGGGCTGCTTTCGCTTCGCCCGTTGCAGATGTGGCTGAACGGGTTTCGTTTGGATGCCGTTCGTCACCGCCACAGACGGTTACAGGTGACGTGGGCATGTTTTCGTGCTTTGGCTCCATGGAGGGACCGGGGTCCCCTGTCACGTGGGGTCCCCTTGGGGGTGGTAGTGTGCCGCAGGGAAGTGGTCACCACCGACGCCAGCCGTACGGGATGGGTTGGCCCGAGGGGTTTGGTCTCGGGCGGAGCGCTCAGACCACATAAATGTACTGGAGCTTCGGGCCGTCCACCTTGCTCTCCGGGAGTTTTTGCCTCACCTGCTGGGGAAACATGTCCTCATTCGTTCGGACAACACCTCGGTCGTGTATCACGTCAACCATCAAGGGGGTGTCCGAACGGCTCGGCTCCTCGAGGTGTCTCAGGCACTGCTGGTTTGGGCTGCGCCTCGCCTGTCTACACTGCGTGCAGCGTATCTGCCAGGGGACTGCAATCGAGTGGCGGACTCCCTGTCTCGCGGGAGGCCTGCCCCGGGGGAATGGTGTCTCCACCCCAGTGTGGTCCAGAGGGTGTGGGGCCTTTTTGGTCGGGCACAGGTGGACCTATTCGCTTCGGTGGCCTCCACTCATTGCCCTCAGTTTTTTTCCCTGGACGGGGCTCCGGGCTCTCTCGGCCAGGATGCCCTGGCGCACAGTTGGCCTCAGGCCCTCCTGTACGCCTTCCCCCCTTTTCCTCTGATCTGGCCAACCCTCCAGAGGGTCCTTCGGGCGGGGCACAGTTTATTACTGGTGGCTCCGTTTTGGCCTGCACGGCCCTGGTTTCCACTGCTACTCAGACTTTGTTGGGCTCCCCCCTGGCCTCTCCCTCCCAGGCGGGATCTGCTCTCACAGCTGGACGGTCAGGTGTGGCATCCCTGTCCTCACCGCCTCAAGTTATGGGTATGGCCGTTGGCTGGCCCGAGCTGCGGGCACTCGATGTCACTGGCCCTGTCAGGCGTACACTCCTGAATGCCAGGGCGGCCTCTACTCGGCGGCTGTATGAGAACAGGTGGAAGTTGTTCTCCCGCTGGTGTTCTTCCCGCGGTCGGGATCCCGTTTCGTGCCCGGTGGCGGTTGTCCTGGAATTCCTTCAGTCTCTCCTGGATGAAGGTCGGGCCCCATCTACTCTGAAGGTATATGTTGCTGCTATTTCATGTTATCATGGCCAGGTTGATAATTGTACTGTGGGGGGCCATAACCTGGTGTCTCTCTTTTTACGCGGAGCTCGTAGGCTGCACCCTCGCGTGCCCGCGCGGTCTCCGGTTTGGGACCTGGCCTTGGTGTTGGAGTCTCTCTGCCGCCCTCCATATGAGCCATTGGCCCGAACGGACCTCAAGTGGCTCTCCTATAAGACTGCTTTCCTGTTGGCTGTGGTCTCTGCAAAAAGGGTCGGTGAGTTGCATGCACTTTCTGTCAGTCCCTCATGCCTACACTGGGATCCCGAGAAGGCTGGCGTGGTCTTGTGGCCTAATCCCACTTTCCTCCCTAAGGTGCTTTCCCGTGACTATTGTAACCGGCCTTTGAGGTTGGCGCGGTTTGTGTTCCCCCCTGGATGGGGGTGAGGACAGACTGCACCTGCTGTGTCCTGTGAGGGCATTGGAGGCCTACGTTGCTGCGACGGCGGGTGTGAGGCGCTCAGACCAGCTCTTTGTTGCTTATGGTGGTGCTAGACTGGGAAGTCCGCTTTCGAAGCAACGCCTTTCCCACTGGGTGGTTGACGTTATCAGTCAGGCGTATGTTTCGGCCGGCCGCGACCCGCCAGCCACGGTGAGGGCCCATTCTACCAGGGGTGTCTCTACCTCCTGGGCCGCTATGCGCGGGGTGCCGTTGGGAACTATTTGTGCTGCTGCGTCTTAAGCTACACCAAGCACGTTCACCAGATTCTACAACATCAATGTGGCCACTCCGGATCCTCTTGGCGTGGTCCTTCAGGAATCCTCTGGCTCTCCTCCGTGAGGTGTGTGGTCAAGATCCTTCGTGACATAGCTGGTATAAGGTCATTCAGTGCTATGCACCGCCCTCTGGCGGTCTGAAGGGATGAAATAGAACGAGGGTTACGTATGTAACCACGGTTCTATGAATCCCGGATGACCGCCAGAGGCGCTCTATCACTCAGGGTCCTTGCATCCGCGAGAAGATTCTGCAGGAACAGAGTGCTGGATGACGCTGGACTTTATTACCTCCGGTGTGTCACCCAGGGGGTCACAGGTGTGACTCATTTGGTATTATTACTCGAACTGCGCATGCGCGAAGGGAACATTCAGTGCTATGCACCGCTCTCTGGCGGTCATCCGGGATTCATAGAACCGTGGTTACATACGTAACCCTTGTACATATCAACTAGTCTAAGGTAAGTTAAGAACATATGTCAGTATGTAAAAACGGTGGCCTATTCCTTTAAGTACTATTCTGAGGTAGGTTTGCCAAACCTGTGCCATGAATGGATGTGAGGCTGCAGGTTTTCATTGCAACAAAGCGGTGCATGCCACACTCCACCTGTCATGTCATGTCATCATCTTCCCCTTTATAATACCATTTCTGGAACGGGGGAACACAACGACAGACATCAGTGGGAGCAGATGACAAGGGTCATGGGGGGGGATTGAATTTACGAACATTAGGTTCCAAGATCAATGCTCTAACAACTGAGCCACTGTCACCATACTCAACTCATTTAATTCATTCATTGGGTTGACTGGACAAGTGTGTTTCATGAACACATACGCACTACAACATTTATAATTCTAAATGTTTGTCCAAAATTGGCCATTTATTGTACATACATTTTCATCTATACTGTGAAGGCATACATTTAAAATGTGTTCAACCGCTGGTTTAATTCATATTCTATACAGTTGTAGGATAAGTGGACGGTCAATAGCCAGGGGGAGAAATATAAACCTACCATCACTCAATGGATATAAAGTCAGGCCAGAGCTACTGATGTAATACATGTCACCCACATGACCTGCACTAGTGTAATTGAGACCGATGAAGGCCATTTGTTCAAAATGCTACTGATTTAGTTTATCCAAGCCACAAACATTTTGTAAACAAGTTTGTAGTTTGTAGCATCCATGATGGGATGTGAGGGATAGGCTTGTAATGCATTCGCTGTGATAATAACTTAGACACTTATCACTGACAGGATGGAAAGAAAAACAATGTCCGTTTACTTGTCTTTGATGGAGAAGCTCTTTTGTTCCTCCAATGTGTGAACCACATACTTGAGGAAGAACGGATCCCGTATCAGTTTGGACAGATCCTGATAGCACTCATCAAGTTGAACTCGAATGCCATCCTAAACATACACAAAATACAGAGGCAAATTAGTTCTAGCTGAGTTTCTATCAGCCTGTAAACCATTTTGAATCAATTGAAAGGACCAAACTGACTATCATGGAGTCAATACCCTTATTCATCTTATTTGGATGCAAAAACACAGCATATCATAAGAATATTATTAATATATTATTAACATTTTACAATGTACCTGACCAATATCGTTAACACAAGACTTCATCAGCACTTCATTCTAGAGGAAAGAAACAATTATTACTAAAACAAACTCACACTTGTGTTGACATAAACTGATGGTACCTCTGGGAAAAATATTCTGGAGGCAAAATGCTTGTAGTCCAGGAATGGAATTGTGCTAACATTTTCCAAAAGATCATCATTTTCAGTCTGTAATTCAATGAAACCTGAAGAGATGAAACCATATGGGTCGTTATGGCAACCATAGTCAACCATGTTGGTCCACAAGTCTCTCACCTTGTCTGATGTCATTCCTGATTTCCATCTCCAGGTTTCCGATTAAAGTGTTCACCCAAGTAGTCAACTGGGTCTGCTTTTTCTTGTATGCGATTAGCACAACTTTTACGACATAAACGGCATCAGTATAATAGTACACGTAGCAGTAATAGTAGTGATCTCACCAATAACAATGAAGGGTATTAGCAGTAGCACCAGCAAAATCAGCATTAGATATGATGACTTGGGATTCAATATGACTGTCTTGGCCCCAAACTGGATCTGTTGGAATAATTGTTTATAATATTTTAACTTATAGATCATATAACCGGAATGGACTTTGGAAAAACGTTAAAAGGAATGTCATATAAGAACGCGATGTTTGGCAAGAAGTGGATCTGGCTTCCGTTCACTTTCATTGGGAAGTTTCACACTCACCATTCCGGGCATGATTTACATGGATTTTAACATTTATATGATTCCGGTGTTTTTATTTCTCTATTGTCTTTTTATATCAAGATATGCACAATCATAATTAACCAATCAGCTGCCTTCTCACTCCTAAGTCCTCAGATTCACCCAATCAGGAGCAAGTCATAGATCCATGGAGTTTGTGAAAGCAAAATCAAATTGGCTTCTTCAGTTAAAAGGCAAAGGATTTAATGTCCCACTCAGTTAATCTACTCCCTGTTATACAGTTCAAAACATAATCGTAAATAAGATTCAGGAAAATATCAATGGCATGTCTACCTTCAGATGTTCAAATTCTGCGTTGGGCGTGTCCCTGATCTCACAGGTGTAAAAGTCGATCTCATCATTGGACTCTTTGGTTTCCATGATACAGGGATGTAGCAAATTTTTTTGCACACCCCACACGGACATCTCATCCAGGGTTATGTTCAGTTTATCCGCCTTTTTCTACACGCAAAAAAAGAATAGTCATGGTTGGCAGTTGGCACAAACATGAAAGTATTTGCTGTTATTAACCCATTTTCATATTTTTATTCACGTAATCCATCAGACCCCAGCATCAAAGTGACCATATACATTTTTTATAAAACTGATTGATATTTGCAACAATGTTATTGGCCCTTTCTTGGCCAAAATGTCTGTCTGGCCCCAAACAACTATGGGCTAATAAAAGACGTGACCAGTGGCCCAACAAGAGGATCTATGAAATGTTGTTTTTGTAAAAGCTCACAAAAATGATGTGAGAAACCTTGCACTGACAACATAATAGATACTCACCATCATATCATACAGATGAATAGGATGCAAACAAATATATTTCCCTAATTTTTTTCAGTTTGTATTAAATATAGGTTTGAAATATGTACTACTACCTCAAGGCAACAAGATCCTAATGGTTATTGTAAAATTTAAACAGGGGGCGCTAAAGCAAGGCCTGGTTACAACTGTGATGGAAGACCTTTGGGAACCCCAAGTGGGGTGGCTACATCTGTATAGTGCCAAACTGTAGTGCTGTCCTTAGGGAAGACACTTCACCCGGATTGCCTTGAATGAGTCTAAGGTTTGTGTGCGGGATTAGAGGTGGTCAGAGGGGCAGATGTGTACTGTAGGATCTTATCACCTAACCAATTAAACCGATGCATTATCAACTACGTCATAAACCATCTATGGAGGGGTGGCTAGCTCAACAGCACATTCACCTTTGACAGAAAAAGCATTTTGATGACCCATTCTGTCTTGCCTCACCTGTATGGTGATCCTGGCATCGCCCCCTGTCCTTGTGGAGGTGTAACTGGTGAACACAGGGTCTGGTAGGTATGTGATTGGTCTCAAGCAGGTCAGGGTTTCATTGGCCACTTTCAGAAACACTATGCTTGAGAGAAGCTTCTCTGCAGCCGGAGAGGTGTATGATATATTCTATTTTTAAGAAAAAGAAGAGGCTTTAAAAACAGCATGACTGAAACAAACTGAGGTACATGTATTTGAACCCGTACCTGAGTTGTAGCCAAAACTAAGTGATTTTTCACTGCAGAATGACTATGGACTACTTCATCAATGAAATCCATGTGTGATCCAACCAGAGTGATATTTCTTCCTCCACTAGATAAAAAAGGAAAAACTAATTATTGAAAACATATTGATTAGAGCTGACATTGTGTCCTTAGGCAAGACAGTTCACCACATTGTCTAATATGAATCTGGTGTGTGTGCATGCCTGTAAATGAAAGGTGCTGGTCGCAGTCCAATCATACTTCTGCTTTACCCATTGCCAGGACATGGGGGCAGCAGGGCTAGATGTTATGGGGATGAACACCCTTGTGCTCAAACATGGTGGAGTTTGTTATGGACAAACTGTAGCTATCACATACTGTAAGTCCAATAACTGCATATCCTGAACATTACTCGGGGCCTTCTTCTTGAACGCCCCTCTCTGGCTGATTCCCGTGTAGGTCTTCCAAGAGCATAATGGTGGACTATCACGTACAGCGCAACAAAGGCCCCACCCTGAAGCCAGGCCTGGGTTTGGAGCAAGTGGCCAAACAAGGCAAGGGCATGCAAGTTTATTTGTATGGCACAATTCATCCACAGGGAAAGTCAAAGTGATTTATAAAACAAAAATAGAAAACATTATAATCACTTCACATTTATTTTAAGAGGAATTCATTTTAAAAGTGCTGATAACCTCCTTCAGTTAGAAACCACAGCGCTTGGACCCGCCCTCCTCTAACCCCACCCTCCTCTAACCCCACCTTCTGCAGTGTTTCATGCAGGGACTGGGAAATGGCCAAAGACTCAGAGACCTCAGAGACTCGTTCCACTCATGCAACAATTATTGACACATCATATTAGGGTTTTCTCAAACCCTGTAATGTGCAACTGATGGGAAGTGTTTGTTTTTTCTCATCTTAAAAAGAGAAGTTGTACATGGAGAAAGAAACTAAAACTGGGAAGTGGCACAACAGTCCACCCTTCACCCAGGACACACAAGTATATACTGCCTGTTTTCTGTGGTCTACACAAGTTGGAGTCATATACATCATAATGGTAAAAAATGTACTATACTTGCACAGTATGGGAATTACTGTAAGTAAATAAGCTTACATTTAAAATGGAACTACAGGTTCCAATTACTCTCCATGGATGTATCTGGTATAACACCTTGGACCATAAAAATTGTACTGGTCTGTCATCCCCATCTATTTCACAGACAAACCAGTTAAGGCCTGATTTATCAATCCAGGTTCAAAACTGAGGGTATAATTGGAAAAAATAGTGTGTTTGTGGGTGTGTTGCATGCAATTTACTATTGTGAAATGTGAGCATCATTTCTTCCACAAAGGTGACATGTAAATAAGACAAATCAATGAGTGCAAAACCATAAACTATATATTATGCTATATTTACATGAGAATATGCACAAAATGTGTGATGGTAACGACTTCATTTAGCACGGGTTGTAAAAGAGTAACAGTTAATTGATGTGCTTTGTATTGTATTATCTACATTCATTTGGATGTTCGAATATATCATAAGGCACAGTATTTGTAGATTTTTATAACGGTCGATTAATATAATTGGTCCTACATGACTTCCTCCTTGTTTTGTTCAGCTCTGAAGTGCATTTGACCTGTGGAGTTTCTGAGCTGATCTGTTTTAAGAGTAAGGAAGTAAGTAATGTTTATTTATATAGCGCATTTTCCAATCTTTCAACACACGGTGATGACTGAAGCGAGTCACCGAACACACTGGTGCATCAGCCCCCAATCAACACTATCCATTCACTCTCTCATTTACATTCATACCTATTGTGCATGTTTTTAGTGGTAGGGGAAACCGGAGCACCCGGAGGAAACCTACGCAGACACAGGGAGAACATGCAAACTCCACTCAGAAAGACCCTGTTCCGACCGGGATTCTCAGCCAATCAGTACTCAGTATGTAAAAGATGAATTGTTTTCTAATAGGATAAAAACAGAAAGTTGTTTTCCAAGATGTTCAAGGCAAAATGTATTTATGACACAAATTAGTTAGGTACCCCAGCTTCATGAATGCCCCCTTACACTTACAGTAAGGGAAAACTGCTCTCTCGGCTTCATTCATTCATTCATGTACCAGTTTTTCACTTGATAAATGAGGCCCTTTGTGTGATCCATGCAAGCGACCATTATTGGCAGTTATAATGTATTGTCTTAACCCATCAGAGAGTGGATGTTCACCTGAGCCAGCTGCTGCTCGGCCTTATGTCCACGCAGGACGGCGAGGAACCGTAGGCAAATCCACCGTGACTGTAGCAGCTGTCGTCTGGGAGAACAGCACAGACCTGGACCACGCCCTTGTTCTGCGTGCTGGGGATGTGGAAGGTCAGCGTCTCTCCAGTGTTGTTCCACACAGGGGATCTGCACAATCACATAATCACATCACATTGAAGGAAAGAGAAAAAAAATTCGTCCAAGAGTGGGGACATTGCAGTGCTACAGAGCTGGAACAATCAGTAATCAAGTTGTTTCCAATAATTGATCATTAATTAACTACTCTCAAACCAACACAATTCTTTTGAGTTTCTTTGAGTTGGTATTTTTACGCACAAGATATTTTAAGAATATAAGGAATTGTGTAATGTCTCGCTTTTTTATGATAAATTGTTTTTGTTTAAGCCTATTAGAATGTCCACTGGTGGCTTTACGTCAGATTGATTTGGGTCAAACAGAGATCAAATATTGCATCTGCATTCTCAACAACAAATCAATTCATGGGAAGGATAATGGAAACACTAGACACAATGACGTAAGGAATAAGTTATCATTTATTTTTTATAATTTATGAACAGTATCTGATAGAAATGAGTCTATCGAGAACATATATATAGTGGTGATGATTATAATGAGCTTGTAATCTCCGTAAACAAGGAACTACATCAAATAAAAAAGTGGATGGATGCAAACAATTTATCCTTGAATGTAAATAAAACTAAGATGATGATGTTTGGGAATCGCAACCTAACGTCTGAATCGAGAATTAATGATATCCAAATTGAAATGGTAAGTGAAATTAAGTTTTTGGGAGTAAAAATTGATAGCAAGTTGTCATGGAAACCCCACGTCAGACACATAAAAACCTAAATTTCCGAAAGCCTCTCAATTATTAACAAAGCAAAACTATACCTAAATGGAAATGCACTCCGTACTTTATACTGCAGCCTGGTTCTTCCATACTTGACGTATTGTGTTGAGCTCTGGGGTAACACTTACCACAACACACTACATCCTCTCATCATATCACAGAAAAGAGCAGTGCGGATCATCCATAAGGTTGGTTTTCTGGAACATAGTCATAATCTTTTTACTCAGTCAAAGCTGCTAAAGTTTGATGATCTTGTTAAATATAATACATCAATAGTCTTGTATAAAGTATTCAACAAATTATTACCGTCTAACCTGCAGCGTTTCTTTACGACTCCTGAGCGAGCTCATAACTTGAGAGGTTTTGGATATTTTTCACTGCCGAGATCAAAAACCACTCGTAAATGTTTTTGTCTGTCTGTATGTGGAGTAAAACTTTGGAATAAGCTGGACTCACAACATAAGCAATGTAAAACTATTCATCGATTTAAACTGTTCGATAAACATAAGGTCTGGTCACAATATAGAGATGAGGGTCTTTAATTTAATCAGATTTTCTCTGTCTCATAGTGTAACATGTGCTCAATGTTCCATTACCTTGTTAGTATATAGAATCTTGCTATTGTTGTTTTATCTTTTTTGTTCATTACCATTGTTGGTATATTTTCTATTACCATTGTTGGTAACTGTTGTTACAATGTAAATTTCCTTGTTGCCCGTGGTAACGCCACTCTGGTATGATACTGTAAAATAACGCTTGAACAGTAACAGTGAAGTTGATCGTTTAATCACTGAATGGGGATATAAGGGTGGGATTAAATAAGTTTTTCTTCTTCCCACTCCTTTTCAGGCAGAAATATATGGCCATGTTATACCATAGATTTTTGTTTATACATTTTTTGTTTACACTGTTTTTTTTTGTTTTTATTGTGTTTGTCTGTTTGTTTTTTGCATTATATTATTTATATTACTTAATTGCATTTAATTACCTCGTTTTCTCACTTGTGCCATTGCCTGAAATAAATTAATAAATGAAAAGAATGAAAAAATATACAGTGTTTGCTATTTTTCAAGTTGAAGCAATCAGCATGTGTTTTGTTCTTTATACATAAATGTACTTATAACCACATATATAACTCACTCATGTGGACTGCAGTCTAGATCCGCATGTATCCGGATGCGGGTCACGTGGCTCAGGTTGTGGCCCGTGAGAAGAGCGTGGTTTTTGCCGTAGAAAGACACAACGTTCGGAGAGACAGTGGAGATCTCTGGCTTCTAAGGACGCACACAAGCCCAGGTGTTAAAAACGACCAAGCGGGATTTTAACATTTGAACACTTACCGTATAATTCATGTGTGTCTCCATGTTTTGGCAAATACTTTTCTGAAAGTAATGTTCGAAATGTTGATTTGATATACAAAACATACATATTTTTTTAACTGCTTAAACAGATCAGTATGTACAATGGTGGAGCTTTACAAAAGGCAAAACCACAACATATTACTAACATTTATCGACTTTTCATTTGCCCAAGAACAGCTACCGGAGCTCCAACCACATCCAGCCGCTATGCACCGCCTGCACCTGCAGAAAACATTGTAATGTAATGTTCTTATTTACACATTACACAACATTGTACTTGTATGATTTTTATACTTACAGTGCTGGAGACGCTGGTCCTCTAATCTTTGAACAATTCCTCACATTGAAGGTTTCTGTCCATACAGTCTTCCAAATCCGCACTCTTACAACCACATCTAGACCTGCTAACATCAGAAAATTATGAAAGGGATATAGTGTATTGTGTATTTATAGGAATAAGAGATCACAGTAAGTAGTAGCCAGCCACACCAATCCTTATCAACTGTAGCACATTTTAGTCGGTGAAAGCTAAACTGGATATTCTCTGTAGATCCAAAAATGTTATGAATTTAATCTATACATCACATACATGTACAGTACTTGCTGGACTATAAAGCGCACCATAATCGCACCAACAGAATGCTTTGAATAAAACATACAGCCGCAGGTTTTCATTTTGTAACGTAACACTTAACCAACAGCTGATGGCGCGAAACAACACTGTTTTAAGTGGTCTATTTCTACAATAAGCCCCTGTTTTGACAGAGGCGCTGCAAAACATTTTGCCAAAACAACCAGGCTCCATATTCAAAACTCCGTATGAGTCTACGCAACGACAAAAAATTATGTAGTTGTAGCACCCGGACAGTAGTGAGCAGTGAAACTTTACAACACGACACACATGACCCCCACCAGTCAAAATAAAAACTGTGATCTGACAACAGCCCTGATCGTAATTTTATATTAAATCGTTAATTCAGACACATAAAAGGGTCCATATAAAACAACACAAAAAAACAGCACACAAACATACAATACTTATAATACTGTAGAGATATGTGCTTGCGTAGTACTTTTTCATAAACTGGTATAAGACTAATTTGATTTAATTTGATTTTGATTTCATCGAGGACTTGGTGATTAATGTAACATCAAGATATGGCTGGTTCTGACCTATACTATAACAGACCCATTATTACAGGCAAAGTCAGATTCATCAAGCTTTGATTAAAATATTAAAATATTGATAGTTGGCTCAAAGCTTGCAAAAACCCCAAGATAAAACATCAACATTTGTTAGAATATTTTGAAAATCTACTAATTATCCAAAATCATTCAAATTGAAACAAACAACAGCTTGGCATATGTCACATTGCATGTCTATATCAATTGCAGAACCCTAACCCTAATTTTCAAGTTTAATCTGTAATCTGTAACCCTAACCCATACAAAGATGGCGCCTCGTACGGTCGACATGGCTCTTTGCTGCTCTCTTTTTCTTTTGTTTTTACTTTTTAACTGCGCATCTGGCTGTTCCTACACCCGTGAGGAACTTATGAACATCCGACCCACCGTTCCCATGGACCTATTGCCTGTTTTCTTGGCATCTGCGGCTGATTTAGTTCATGTTCTAGCCAAAAAAGTGTGGGCCCGTAAAAGGGGAAGGCGCGGAGGCCTGCTCGTGCGTCTGAGGAGAAGAGGAGCGCGCACGGCTCTCCCCGGCATTTTTCTCTCCAACGTACGCTCACTGGGCAATAAGATGGACGAACTCAGCCTGCTCATGAGAAGAAACAAGGACTTCGCCACATCCTGTGTCCTCTGCTTCACTGAGACCTGGCTAAATGAGCGGATCCCGGACTGCGCTCTGGAGCTGCAGGGCTTTGGGCTGTTCCGCGCGGATCGCCATTGTGCGCTCTCAGGGAAGAGCAGAGGCGGAGGGCTGTGTTTCTACGTCAATACAAACTGGTGTAACGATGTGACAGTGATCTCCAAGCACTGCTCTCCTGCTCTGGAATATCTTTTCATTCATTGTAAACCATATTACTCCCCGCGCGAAATTGTTTCATTCATTCTTGCCTCTGTTTACATACCGCCATGCGCGGACGCGCGCGAGGCTCAGCGCGCACTCGCAGAGCAAGTACTGTGTATGGAACGCTTATACCCGGACTCTCTGATTATTATCCTGGGGGATTTTAATAAGGGAAACTTGAGCCAGGAATTACCCAAATACAGACAGTTTATCAAATGCCCGACCAGAGAGGAGAACACTCTGGATCACTGTTACACCACCGTGCGCGGAGCTTTTCGCGCTGTTCCCAAGCCAGCCCTCGGCTTCTCAGATCACTCCATGATACATCTGATCCCTGCTTACAGACAGAGACTAAAGCTCTCGAAACCTGCAATGAGGAGCTCCAAAGTGTGGTCTGATGAAGCTGTGGAAGAGCTGCGCGCATGCATGGAATCTACAGACTGGGACCTTTTCAGAGCTGCCACAGATAGTTTGGATGAATATACGGACACTGTGACGTCATACATTCACTTCTGTGAGGATAGCATCATTCCAACAAGGACCAGGGTCATCTATAACAACGACAAACCCTGGTTCACTGCTAAACTCCGGCAGCTCAGGAAAGCAAAGGAGTCTGTTTTCAGGGAGGGGGACCGCAGCGGCTACAAAGCAGCTAAATATCAGTTCAGGAAAGAACTGAAAGCAGCCAAGTCCCGGCACAGAGAACGACTACAGGAGCAGTTTGGTAACAACGATACTGCTTCTGTCTAGAGGGGCCTACGGGAGATCACCAACTACAAACCCAAAGCCCCCCCCTGTGCTGACGACCACAAGCTAGCTGACGAACTGAACTTATTTTTCAGTCGCTTTGATGCTGCCCCTGACACCTCTCCCTCCCCCACCCCCCACTACTCTAACGACCCACCCATCAGCCCTGCCCCCAGCCTAACAATAGCCGCTAAAGAGATTAAACAACTCTTCCTGAGGCTGCACCCCCGCAAAGCTCCTGGCCCGGACCACGTGTCTCCGGCCACTCTGAGACACTGCGCCAGTGAGCTTACTCCTGTGTTCACGGACATTTTCAACACCTCTCTGCAGTCCTGCTATGTCCCGGCCTGCTTCAAATCCTCCATCATTGTCCCCGTCCCGAAGAAGCCCAGGATCACAGGACTCAATGACTACAGACCTGTAGCACTTACGTCTGTCGTCATGAAGTCATTTGAACGCCTGGTTCTCTCCCATCTCAAGTCCCTCACCTCCCCCCTCCTGGACCCCCTGCAGTTCGCCTACAGAGCCAACAGATCTGTAGACGACGCCATTAACCTGGCCCTCCACCACATCCTACAGCACCTGGACTCCCCGGAGACCTACGCCAGGGTCCTGTTCGTGGACTTCAGCTCTGCCTTCAACACAATCCTGCCATCCCTGCTCCAGGACAAGCTCTCCCAGCTCAACGTGCCCGATTCCACCTGCAGGTGGATCACTGACTTCCTGACGGACAGGAAGCAGCGAGTGCGTCTGGGGAAGAATGTCTCGGACTCTCGGATTATAAATACAGGAGCCCCACAGGGCTGTGTTCTTTCTCCCCTGCTCTTCTCCCTGTACACCAACCACTGCACCTCCAGCCACGACTCCGTGAAGCTGATCAAGTTCGCGGACGACACCACCCTCATTGGACTCATCTCCAACAACGATGAGTCCGCCTACAGGAGGGAGGTGGACCGGCTGGTGTCCTGGTGCAGTGGTAACAACCTGGAGCTGAACGCCCAGAAGACAGTGGAGATGATTGTGGACTTCAGGAAGAGCACTGTCCCCCCACCCCCACCCTCCGTGATGGACTCCCCCATCACCTCTGTGGAGTCCTTCCGTTTCCTGGGCACCACCATCACCCAGGACCTCAAGTGGGAGCCGACCGTCAGCTCCCTCATCAAGAAGGCCCAGCAGAGGATGTACTTCCTGCGGCAGCTCAGGAAAGCCAAGCTGCCTGCACAGATGTTGGTGCAGTTCTACACGGCCATCATCGAGTCCATCCTCACCTCCTCCGTCACCGTGTGGTTCGCTGGAGCCACAGTCAGGGACAAACAGAGACTACAGCGCATTGTGCGCTCTGCAGAGGAAGTGATCGGCCGCAGCCTTCTATCGCTGCAGGACCTGTACGTCGCCCGAGCTCGAGGCCGGGCTGGTCGTATCACAGCCGACCCCTCTCACCCTGCACATGGACTATTCCAACCACTCCCCTCAGGCAGGAGGCTGCGGTCCATCAGGACTAGAACCTCCCGCCACAAGAACAGTTTCTTCCCCTCTGCTGTTGGACTCTTGAACACTTCTTAACCTGTCCCCCCGCCCTTTATAAAGTCACTTTACTGCCCATCATACGTCACTTTACTTCACTGTACTGCTGTCACCTTACATTGTGTGCACCATGTGCACTTGTATATTGTAAATAGTAACTGTAACTCTATTTTAAATTAAAATTTATTCTTTAGAAGTGTTTTTTATTCTTATTTTTATTATCTTTTTTTGACTGTTGCACTGAGCCAAAGCAATTTCCTAGTCTGTGACCTCCTGTTACTTACGTGGCAATAAAAATGATTCTGATTCTGATTCTGATTCTGATTGTTTGTTTTCCCAACCTTGTGCAGGTATTTTGACGTTCTGGAGGACACAGAGGCATTGTGGGTAACTCGGAGCAGGTCCGGGTCCACATGGATGAGAGAACTGGCATGCAAAGTTGTTCGGCTTGTTTGGGACCACACTCGCATGTATTTGCACGACAATGGTGACCTAGAAGATAAAGACAACTAAATACACATTTATGAACCATAAAAGCAAACAGGGCAACAACGAGTCAGGCCCTTTGGCAAGACACTTATGTGAGAGACATTAGAGGAAGAGGTGAGTGAGAAGGAGAAGTGGAAGAATCACTATCGCTGTCTCCCCAAAGGCGGCTGTGGCTTCAGAACTTTGAAATGTTACGCCCTCCAAATACTGATCATAAGACTGGATGGATTTGTTTTTTTATTGTTAGTAAATAGATAATTCAATTCAAATTGCTCCTTACTCTCAATACTTTTTATTTTTCTTCCAAACCACAGTAAATTTGGACTTAAAAAACTATGCTACCTCAACACCTGACTGACACAGCAGTGCTAAACTCTTTGGACGGAGAAATTACCAATAATGAACAGAAAGCAAAAGCATCTGACTTGAACATACAACTTTACCTTATCAGATGTGCTGCTTTCTGCTTTTAATAAAACCATCTTATCTTGGTTAAATTCTTCAGGAGTGGAAATCCAGCTTGAGTTTCGACATTCACTCTCAAATGTGCACCTTTCAAGAAACAGAGGTATCTCACGAATATATTTCTTATGAACATGATCGTTCATGGGGTCAAGTGAGATGGATGACCATTGATCAAACCTTTGTGGAGCGTCACACCAAACACATTGTGGATCGTGTGCAGACCAGCACTCAGATATTGTAGTGTAGGTTGAGCATTGTGACACAGGGATCCTCATAATCTACAAAATGATTATAAACATGTATCTGACCATGACAGTTTGAGACAAACCCTCCCTCTGTACCTGGGTTGTAAATGCTGTGTAGATATGCTCATGATCTTTGTGGTCCACATGTAATTTGGGGAAAACTTGTCGATCATCACTGGCTCTATACAGAACCCTGGGACAAGCAGACTGGTAGTTTTTATCCACCACAAGCTGAAAAAAACAGCTGCATTAGAATTGAACATCCACAAGTATAGGAGGTGAGCAAAATTGCGAGTGTCACACACAATGTTGTTGAAATAGACTTCGAAAATTGATATTTGGCAGGATTTTTCAGACTTCAAGCTAAAACTGTAGCATTTTCGCTAATAATTATACATTTGCCAACAATTCTGAATAATGGCAACTTTGGAGCCCTCACATTTATTCTTTATAGGCTAGTTATTTTCTATTCCAAACGTATAGAGTGACACTTTCTGATTAGGGTTTGATTTTCTGTATTTGACCCTATCTTTAAGGTGTGAAGCTGCAGGAGAGTTTCATGTTAAAAGGCCACTCCAACGGTATATTTATGACAAATATACTTACGGATATACTAATTTGCATTGCCTAATGGACGTCTTGCTTATCATGTTATCATGTCATCATGCTAAATGTCTAAAGTTTAAGACGCACCTTGATGAGTTGTCCGTCTGCTGTCCCGATAAAGAACAGCATCCATGAGCGGTGTGTGAGCGCCAGCACAGAGTTCATGTGGCTCTGCTTCAGCAGGATCTTCAGGGGCCTCACGGTCTTCAGCTGCTCCACACTCAAGGATTTGACTGTGAAGTGCGGGTCCGAGTCTTTTTTCACGCTCAGATCCGGACTAACGTCAAACAACAGTAGCTGAGTGTTTGTGCGCGTCTCATCCACGCTGAACACGCCGCTCCACAGTGCTCTCTTCCCCGTGATCATAGAGGAAGCCAGGAGCCTCCCCTGTGAGCCCGAAGCCCCGCTGCTGAGAGTGGCCCCCCGCAGAGACTTCAGAGTATTGACCTTCAATACTATCTCACTATGTTTAGCCTCGAGCCAAAGTACACGCACCCAATTTCCAGTGGAAGAATTTACGTTTGAAAAAAGATAAATGAATGAATCCACCTGGAAAACATCAACGAAGCCCACGTCCATGTCCTTATTCCTGCGATTCAAACTCGCAGATTGCACGCTGTAGGAGAAGATGCCGCCTGACTGGCGGTCATCAGTGTTGAACAGGTGGAGAAGGCCGTCTTCTTCTAGAGCGCACGGACTTTTCTTTGACCTGGAGCTCTGCTCAGTGGCAGCCAGGATGTACTTGTTAAGGTGTGTACCTGTGGCTTCAGTGACCAGAATAGCCATGGACGCGCTATCGTGGCTGACGGGTCCCAAGAGGATGCTCTCCGAGTGAATGACCGTGGACACATTCTGGAGCGAAAGAACTTCGCAATGGCCGCAGTGGCGCACAATACCACACAAAACCAGGGTGTTGTTGGAGGCAAACGGCAGAAGCACGTTTACTGTGAGAGACGCGTTCCAGACCGATCCTTCTGAGACGCGCACAAACTTGTAAGTCTCCGTGTTCATTAGCCAAATATATTTGTACCACACTTGTCGTCTCACATTCTTCTTACCTAGCTTTGTTTTAGGATTGTTTTTATATTTATTTTTATTTTTTTTTTTTTTATTTTTTTTTTAATATTTTTTTTAAATTTATTTTTTTTTTTTTTTTTTTATTTTTTTTTTTTTTTATTATTTTAATTTATTTTTTTTTTTTATTTTTTTGTATTAATTTTTTTTTTTTTTTATTTATTTTTTTTATTTATTTATTTTTATAATTATTTTTTTTTTTTTATTAAATTTATTTTTTATATTTTTTATTTTAGATTTTTTTTTTTTTAATTTATTTTTTATTTTATTTTTTATATTTTTATTATTTAATTTTTTTTTTTTTTTTTTTTTTTTTATTTTTTTTTATTTTTTATTTTTTTTTATTATTTTTTTTTTTTTTTTATTTTTTTTATTATTTTTATTTATTTTTTTTTTTTTTTTTTTTATATTTTTTTAATTTTTTTTATAATTATTTTTATTATTTTATTATTATTAAATTTAAAATTTAATTTAAAATTTTTTTATTTTTTATATAATTATATGTTTAAATTATTTAATATAATTTATTTAATAATAAATTAAAAAATTAAATATAAATTTATTATTATTTTTTTTTTAAATATTTTTATAAATATTTTTTATTAAATATTTTTTTTATTTATAATTTTTATTTTTTTTTTATTTAATAATTAATATAAATAATTAAATATTAAATTATATTATATTTATATATATTACATAAATAAAATAATATAATAAATATTATATAAATAATTTATAATATAATATATTTATTTAATATTATATTATTATTTATTTAAAAATAATATAATATTATATATATTTTATTTATTAATGATAATAATAATTTTTATTATATAATTAATTTTTTTTTTAATATATTTATATTATAATTTTTATATTATTATTTTTTTATATATTATATTATTTTATTTAAAATTATTTTTTTATTTATATTATTTTTATTTTTATTTTAATAATATATATTAAATAAATATATTTTATTTATTATATTTATTAAATTATATATTTTAATATATTATTATATATATTTTATTAAAAATTTATATATAAAAATAAATTTTAATTATTTATTTTTAATTTATATATACTATTATTCTAATTTTTTTTTTTTTTTTTTATAAAAATTAAAAATAAAAAATATATTATTTTAATATTAATAATTCATTATTATATATCTTCATTTTTAATTTTTTATTGTTACTTATTATATTAAAAATAAAATTTATAATTATTTTAATTTTATAAAATTAATATATTTTTATTGATTAAAATAATTATATATAATATATATAAAAAATAATAATAAAAAATATTATTTAAAATCGGTAAATGTTTGGAAAGGGAAGCCGTGACGACGAGAAAGCTAAATGCTTTATCTTTTAAAAAATCATTTAAAAAGAACAAAAAGAGGTTTGCGAATACTTTCACTGCCCACTTGTTCAATAAGATGCTCTCTACCACTGTGTAAAATATCATTCACTTTTACTGTAGAAATCCAGAGAAAATGGGGGTCAGAGTGTGCACAAGTGGTCCCAAAAGCACTTTTTAAAATTCATTTTAAAAAAATCTAAAAAAGTTCCCTCACTACTTTCACTGCACACTTGTTCAACAGGATGCCCTCTACCACTGTGTAAAATATCATTCACTTTTACTGTGGAAATCCAGAGAAAATGGGGGTCAAAGTGTGCACAAGTGGTCCCAAAAGCACTTTTTAAAAATCATTTTAAAAAAACTAAAAAAGTTCCCTTACTACTTTCACTGCACATTTGTTCACTGGGATGCCCTTTACCACTGTGTAAAATATCATTCACTTTTACTGTAGAAATCCAGAGAAAATGGGGGTCAAAGTGTGCCATTTTGGTCCCAAAAGCACTTTTTAAAAATCATTTTAAAAAAATCTAAAAAAGTTCCCTGACTGATTTCACTGCAAACTTGTTCACTGGGATGCCCTCTACCACTGTGTAAAATATCATTCACTTTTACTGTAGAAATCCAGAGAAAATGGGGGTCAAAGTGTGCCATTTTGGTCCCAAAAGCACTTTTTAAAATTCATTTTAAAAAAAACTAAAAAAGTTCCCTCACTACTTTCACTGCACACTTGTTCACCAGGATGCCCTCTACCACTGTGTAAAATATCATTCACTTTTACTGTAGAAATCCAGAGAAAATGGGGGTCAAAGTGTGCCATTTTGGTCCCAAAAGCACTTTTTAAAATTCATTTTAAAAAAAACTAAAAAAGTTCCCTGACTACTTTCACTGCACACTTGTTCACTGGATGCCCTTACCACTGTGTAAAATATCATTCACTTTTACTGTAGAAATCCAGAGAAAAAATGGGGGTCAAAGTGTGCCATTTTGGTCCCAAAAGCACTTTTTAAAAATTCATTTTAAAAAAACTAAAAAAGTTCCCTGACTACTTTCACTGCAAACTTGTTCACTGGGATGCCCTCTACCACTGTGTAAAATATCATTCACTTTTACTGTAGAAATCCAGAGAAAATGGGGGTCAAAGTGTGCACAAGTGGTCCCAAAAGCACTTTTTAAAATTCATTTTAAAAAAATCTAAAAAAGTTCCCTGACTACTTTCACTGCAACTTGTTCACTGGATGCCCTCTACCACTGTGTAAAATATCATTCACTTTTACTGTAGAAATCCAGAGAAAATGGGGGTCAAAGTGTGCCATTTTGGTCCCAAAAGCACTTTTTAAAATTCATTTTCAAAAAAACTAAAAAAGTTCCCTCACTACTTTCACTGCACACTTGTTCACTGGGATGCCCTTTACCACTGTGTAAATGTCATTCACTTTTATTGTAGAAATCCAGAGAAAATGGGTGTCAAAGTGTGCCATTTTGGTCCCAAAAGCACTTTTTAAAATTCATTTTAAAAAAAACTAAAAAAGTTCCCTCACTACTTTCACTGCACACTTGTTCACCAGGATGCCCTCTACCACTGTGTAAAATATCATTCACTTTTACTGTAGAAATCCAGAGAAAATGGGGGTCAAAGTGTGCCATTTTGGTCCCAAAAGCACTTTTTAAAATTAATTTTAAAAAAAACTAAAAAAGTTCCCTGACTACTTTCACTGCACATTTGTTCACTGGGATGCCCTCTACCACTGTGTAAAATATCATTCACTTTTACTGTAGAAATCCAGAGAAAATGGGGGTCAAAGTGTGCCATTTTGGTCCCAAAAGCACTTTTTAAAAATCATTTTAAAAAAATCTAAAAAAGTTCCCTGACTGATTTCACTGCAAACTTGTTCACTGGGATGCCCTCTACCACTGTGTAAAATATCATTCACTTTTACTGTAGAAATCCAGAGAAAATGGGGGTCAAAGTGTGCCATTTTGGTCCCAAAAGCACTTTTTAAAATTCATTTTCAAAAAAACTAAAAAAGTTCCCTCACTACTTTCACTGCACACTTGTTCACTGGGATGCCCTTTACCACTGTGTAAATGTCATTCACTTTTATTGTAGAAATCCAGAGAAAATGGGTGTCAAAGTGTGCCATTTTGGTCCCAAAAGCACTTTTTAAAATTCATTTTAAAAAAATCTAAAAAAGTTCCCTGACTGATTTCACTGCACACTTGTCCACTGTGATGCCCTCTACCACTGTGTAAAATATCCTTCACTTTTACTGTAGAAATTCAGAGATAATTGGGGTCAACATCTGGCTCTTGGGACGTGGAACGCCTCACTGGGGGGGAAGGAGCCCGAGCTCGTGGGGGAGTTTGAGCGATACTGACTAGAGATAGTCGACCTACCCCTCCACACACAGCTTGGGCTCTGGAACCCAACTCCTTGAGAGGGGTTGGACGCTCCACTTTTCTGGTGTTTCCCGCGGGGACAAGTCTCTCATTGTTGTGACGGCCTACGGGCCTAACAGCAGTGCAGAGTACCCGGCCTTCTTGGAGTCCTTGGGAGTGGTACTGGACGGTGCCCCGCCCGGGGACTCCGTTATTCTCCTGGGGGACTTCAACGCCCATGTGGGAAACGCCAGTGACACTTGGAGAGGGGTGATCGGGAAGAACGGCCCCCCTGATCTGAACCCGAGCGGTGTTCAGTTGTTGGACTTCTGTGCCAGTCACAGTTTGTCCATCACGAACACCATTTTCGAGCACAAGGTTATTCAGGTGGCACCAGGACACCCTAGGCCGGAGGTCGATGATCGATTTTGTTGTCGTATCATCTGACCTTCGACCGTGTGTCTCGGACACTCGGGTAAAGAGAGGGGCGGAGCTGTCAACCGATCATCACCTGGTCGTGAGTTGGATCTGCTGGCAGGGGAAGAAGCCGGTCAGACCTGGCAGACCCAAGCGTATAGTGAGGGTCTGCTGGGAACGTCTCGCTGAGCCCCGTGTCAGACGGACTTTCAACTCACACCTCCGGGAGAGCCATGATGGTTCGGGGGACTCCTGAGGCAGCTGTCCAGTACCGGCATGACAAGCGTGCCGCGGCCCGGGCTGTTGCAGAGGCAAAAACCCGGGACTGGGAGGAGTTCGGAGAGTCCATGGAGCATGACTATCGGTCGGCCTTGAAGAGATTCTGGCAAACCATACGGCGCCTCAAGAGGGGGAAGCAGTTCTTTGCCAACACCATGTACGGTGCGGGTGGAGAGCTGCTGACCTCGACTGGGGATATTGTCGGGCGGTGGAAGGAATACTTTGAGGTTCTCCTCAATCCCCCCGTCACGTCCTCTGTTACAGAGGCAGAGGCTGAGGATGTTGGGGCGGATACATCCATCTCCCTGGCTGAGGTGACCAAGGTGGTTGGCAGCCTCCATGGTGGCAAGGCTCCGGGTTTGGATGAGATCCGTCCTGATTATCTAAAGTCTCTGGATGTTGTAGGACTGTCTTGGCTGACACCTCTTTGCAACATTGCGTGGCGATCGGGGGCGGTGACAATGGAGTGGCAGACCGGGGTGGTGGTC